GTCTTGGGTGAGAGTTGATAGTGTGATCGATGACACTGCGATGCTGTCATCGTCTTGAAGCTGCTTGTATTCCCGACACTCATCGCTATAGAACTCATATAACATGATTAGACCATAAATTTGCGGTAGCGGCCGACATTTAATCTGCTTCATACCCACCTTTCCTCGACCCGTTCTCCTGTGTTTCGTCACTCGTAGCAGCGCGGGATTCGGGTTCATCCCACTGTAAGTCCCCTTAAGTCAAGAATAAATACAATTCAGAGAGTTCATAGCCTATTGGTAGTTGTACACCCGCACATGTCAAGACCAGCATACGAGTGTATCTCAAGGAGATGTCCTTCACTAGCTCCACGTTGCGCTCGCCTCAACACCGGTAGTCAAACGCTAGGGCATTCCATAAAGATAATGATCAGTAGATATGCAAATCCAGTGTCCTTCATAATAGCAAACAGCTCAGATATGAGGTAGGCAAATCTTAGAAGAGATATCACTTGCAGCTTTAGGCCAAGTGGCTATGCGCATCTACCCAAAAGCAATTGTCATCGCTGTTCATGAGCGGCTCAATCATCAGTGAGACTTCCCAGGGCTCACTTTCATAATCATGTAGCTAGAAAGAAAACCTAACCCGTCGAAGTATCACCTTGCTTGCTGCTTTCTATTCACTTCCCGTTTTACACGGCGTTTCGACAACTTGCGGTGCACGTTTATTGCCGAAGGAGACAGAATCCATCAGAACTCATCAACACGGAGCGAGTCTAACTTTCCATCTACCAACCTCGATATCAAACGGTTCGTGCACTTTGCGTTGACTGCTTATACTCGTTCATGAATAGAATCCATTGCCGGGAAGGCGATAAAACAAATGGTGATAAACGGAGGAATTGTGTGAACACGCAAATTCCTTCCCAAAGGCTCTTTACCTCACGCACACTTGCACTCATTATATTGATTTAAATAACCCAAACACGAATTGCGTGGAGGGAGCTTGCTGGCCTGCTCATTGTACCAAAGTCAGGGAAGTCGGTGCGTTTCGCGGTCAGAATTAAGGTAGAGGATCGTCTGAAATGGCTATCTTTACTGGTGACAGAGTATAGACTGTATCTCCGATACTACAAAGGACTTAAGACACTGCCTAATATGGTCATGACATTGCCGCTGCCAGCTTTGATTCGACCTTCGTGAATGCTGGGCGCCTACAGCGCGACTGAGACATCGGTTGGTGAACCCTTCGGTCGTGTGATTTGATTGATAGGTTCGCTATTGGTGGGGGATTTTTTTATTGGCCGTGGTTTGCTGGCGTTTTGTACAGCCTCCTGTTCTGCCTTGTTAGGCGTCCTATCAGCATGTTGAAAATTGACCAAATCGCGTTGTTGTCACACAGCCACCCTACAACCCCGTTTCGAGAGCGGTGTGTTTAGCAGGACCTTTCCCACAAGTTTTCCTTTCTTTTCTTTGCTTCTCTTTTCGTAGTGTGAAATGCTTATTTGTATCCACTTCTGCATCGCGGCCTGAATGTGGTGAAGCTTTGCGAAGTCTGGAAACTGTTTTCGAAGACCAATTTTGAAAATGGCGGTCGTGGGTATCGGTGAGTGGCTGTTTACTTTCTAACCCACACTTACTGATGTACAGTAGGCGATTGCATTCAACTTTTAAAATTGGTTGTCGATATTGTAGACAAGGTCAAAGCCTTTAATCGAGCGAGCCATACGTATGAAGACATCCTCCAGAACACGAACCGTTACATAGCCTTCCTTGAAGAACTGAAATGCGAGTATGAAGTCTCCCAGGACAGTTCCCATCGTCAATCAATCCTAGAAGATATTCAACGTTTACACGGTATACTTGAAAAACTTCGCGTATGGCTGAATAAGACAGAAAAGTGCGCCAGCTCACAGCCTGGAGAACGTCTCAAGGACCATCTCGTGAAAACACTACATCGGCTCCGCTTCATCTCACAAAGGGAGAATCGGCTGTCAGAATGTGAAAGCCAGGTGACTAACGCATGGAGGATTCTCGAAGCACATATCCAACAATCTGATCGGTAAGCAATAGGATCTCCGGGCGTTTACAGGCGGCTGATAACTGATTTTCATCACCTAAGGTTCAAGAGCTATGCTCTCCTTGCAGAGTTGGGTAGTAATCAAAAGACCATAAGCAATGATATTTCTAAGGTCGCAGAAATAGTTCAAAGCAGCTCAGCAGCGAATGATACGAACACTGATGCCCTCAGACATGAGATTCGAGCTCAAGGGGCACATACCACAACCTTACTAGACCAAAACCTTTCTACATTGCGAAAGGTTGATCAAGAGCAAACCACAAGCAGCAAACTATTAATGGAGCACCGGGCACGATCCGAGAAAATGTTAGAGGAGAACTTAAAGATTAGCAAGGAAATATTGGTGCTTCTGAAGGAGATCTTTATGATTTTCAAGGACACATTCGCGCGTTTCACGGAGTTCATCAGCGAGCGTTTGCGCGCAACGTCCTCAACAAAAGACTTTGTTTTTGCGGCAATCGCTGAAATCTCTTCAAAGATGGGGTTAAATTTCTATCTGGGTCTTTCAGTGAGCCTTCTTCCCTTACACGGAAGGTTACAACGCCTGGAGGACTTCCTGTGTATTACGGTTGCAAATGATGAGGCCGAGAATTACCATGTGCCTATCGCTGCGCTGGTTCCGTCTGATAGAGCCAAGTCTTCATTGAGAAGAGTCTGTGAAAAGATGGCGCTCACCCAAGCTCTCTCGCCCGACCTCTCGCCTGACATTTCGGAGGATTATAATGAGATTGATAGGAGATCGGAGAAACTCCAGAGTCTCACAGTAGCGAGAAAGAGGAATTTGCTCCTGGAATTTGATTTTGCCCATCACTCCGGGTGCAAATGCGGGCAGTGTCCAACAAACACCTTTGAGTTCGGATCTCTCTCTGCTCCCACAACTTTTACAGAGAGGAACTGGCGAGTTCATAAGCAATTCGATACCAAAGCCGCCCTCGAACTTGGCATTGATCTGCTAAAGCCAATGAGGAAAGAATACAGCCTTTGTGCTCGACTCTTTACCACAGGTCTGATGAAACATTACTATGGTATGTTATCGGACGGGGAGCCTATCGACCTCTGTGAGGGTTTATCCACGGAAATTCCCGCGCTACAACTGCCTAAGTCTATCGAGATGGAAGAGCCCATCAACAATAAATCGGTGTCAGTAGTACATATTGTGAAAGATAGCACACTTCTCGACCCTGCATATCGTGGAGCACTGGATAACTTTATGCGGATAATGGATAACCTCAAGTCATCGAATTTGTCATCTCACTCACGATATCCATGGGCCGTTGCGCATCTGTATGGATCTTGGAGCGTGATGCTCACTCTTATTGCTGCAGACTCCGATGACCTGCGTCTCTATGAGAACATACAATCTGCCCTCTCAGTTGTTCCTCGAGAATACAACAGAGATATTGTTGAGCAAATAGTCTCGCTGGCCTTGAGAGATGCCGCATCTAAGCCCTGGCAGTATCAGGAGACAATGGACCTCACACTTTTCGAAGCTACCTGTCACCACGTCGATACCTTGATAGACTTAACGCTGGCTCTTGGCGCCAATGCATTTACTACGGTGAGAAACAACGCATCAGCATTCGATATGGCAATGTTGGGTGAGGAAGAGAAATATGTGGAAAAGTTTATGGCGTCAGCGTGGAACAAAAAGCTCCTAAGTGATGTCGAATGCCGAAGCTTTCGCTTCGATGACTTGATGAAAGAGAGAGACACGACATGCAAAAGAGTTCGAAGATCGGTCTCGAAGGCACTCAATCCCAGGACTCCATATTTCCTTACGAATTTTTACAGCCCTAGGCATTTCGTCGATAATGACATCTGGTTGGATTACTCGCGCGAGCATGGAATCTCCTCGATTGGTAATGTTGAGGACAAGATTCCAGATCTCGCGTCACTCCAGTCCCGGATTACGCAGCTAAGGACTGAGAAGCGGAGAGGAATAGAGAGAGTGTGGTTCTTCGAAAGGTCCTTGGAGTTTACATGGTCCAAAGGCACTTCTGATTGGCATGTGCAGGATTTGAAAGCTGGGTTCACTTCATTACAAAGCCATTCGGGCTTCTCATTACATAGCCGTTCGAGCAGCTCGGTGGACAGTTTCCATACAGCCGTATCACATACTTAGGGGATGTGTACAGCTTGAAGCATAGAATATCATGGCTGGTGGATAATTTCTGATGGAAATCGAGGTTGGGCCTTCCTGACCTATCCTGGCACCATTGACGGTGAATTTGATTCGTTATAGGCTCGTGATTTTGGGGGTTTCTAGTTTTCTTTTTATCAACGAACAATTCATTTGTTATAAAGTACAACTTTTTCGTCCATGTCATTCCCGACCTGAGACTTTCAGAAAGTCCAGTTCATTGGCATGAATAAGAAGCCCTAGGATTGGAAGACACAATTCCACAATCTCATGGCAAAGTAGCATTTACAGTAATTTTGATCCTGCCCATCTTTGGCCTGGCCAGCGCGTTGTTAAGTCATGTCGAGAGGAAGCTTTTCTACGCAATATTAGCACTGGACCCTGCTTTGAATCGTCACAAATGACGGAGAAAACCGACAGAGTGGATATATGAGAGTGAAGATGAAGCATTTCAGGAGGCATTTTCTATGTTCACAATACGGTTAATCCTACCGCCCGGTGATCACTGGTGTCACATGGTGAATTCAGCCAGGTAATACACCTGGATAGTCTCTGCCATGACCTTAACATCAAAAGACCTGATTTGCTGTAGCGTTGTCTTCCTTTATAATTGACATCAGAGCGTGGATGCTAGAATTTCGCATTTGTGATGTTGAAGAGGCCCTTCCTTGTCAAGCCGATTTGTATTACATGGGCTTCGTGTAATCCCTTTTGCGCCGATCCTATGCCAACCTCCATCTATGTGATCCATTGGACCATGACCTCAAGTTACCTATACCCATATACATGATCAAAGCAATCTTAGACTGTGCCTGTCTTATCTTCGCTAAGTACGACTGTCTTCTCAAGAGCCGCACCCGCCATTGCTTTCTCCCCAGCTCTCTTCCTTAGAACATTCTCAATAAAGGCCTCTCCAGCCTTGTAAGAGGACCGAACCAATGGGCCGCTTGCACAATAGAGGAAGCCCATATCTAGAGCTCTCTGGCGCCAAAGCTCAAATTCGTCAGGGGTGACATATTTCTCGACCTTGAGGTGTCGCTTCGTGGGACGCATGTATTGTCCAAAAGTCACGACATCAACATTAACCTTCCTCAATTCTGTCCATGTGTTAGCACCGTACTGCTTTAAAATGATAGGAAGCTTCACCCACCCCTCAATGCATCCCAAAGTTCCTCCTCCGTTTCGCCTAGGCCAAGCATGATGCTAGTCTTGGTGATGATATCATCGCCCTTCAGTCTCTTCACCTCTTCGAGAACTTTCAGACTCTGTCGGAATGTTGCCCTTCTGTCTCGTACATACGGAGTAAGGCCCTCTACGGTCTCAACATTGTGAGCGTATACGTCAAGGCCAGACTCTGCTACTATCTTGACCATGTTCAGATCGCCCATAAAATCACCCGTCAGCGCTTCAACGAGCAGAGTCGGCTTCTTCTGTTTGATCTTCATGATTGTCTCTGCGAAATGCGCCGCACCACCGTCAGCGAGATCGTCTCGATCCACACTCGTAAGAACGACATATCCTAGGCCCCACCGCGAAAGCGCCTCAGACACATGCTCCGGCTCATGAGGATCCAGCGGCCCTGGCTTCCTGTTCGTCTTCACACTGCAGAATCGGCACCCTCGAGTGCATGTGTCGCCCATGAGCATGATCGTCGCCGTTGCCGCCGCCTTCGAAGAACCGCCCCAACACTCGCCAATATTCGGACACCTCGCCTCCTCACATACGGTGTGGAGGTTCAGGCCGCGCAGATCTGCCTTGATCTTGCCAAAGTTCTCGTTCTTCCCCGGCGAGGGAATAGGTGTCTTGAGCCATTCGGGCAACCTCGTTATCGTCTTCTTTCTTCCTGCAGGTCCCACCTCTGCCGTACGAATCTCGTAAGCATCGCTCGGTGACAGCGGGCTGGCTGGTGATGATGTGGGTAGGAAGTCCGAGAATGGCGCAACGGATGTATCTTTAAAATACGTTGGTCGGGCACGCGTCGTCGAGGTAGTTGTTGGGCTCTGGGATTGGGAGCTAGATGAGGGAATGGTGGCGTAAGATCTTGATGCGATTGCCCTTGCTAGCGACCGTCGCAGCGGTGCCTGCGCACGCTGGAGGCAGGGGACTGGAGATGCCATATCGTATTGAAACCTCACGATCGCCAACTCAATCAACCCCAGCTTCAATCTTACAAGCTCGACGGTGGACGGCTGACAATTGGGTGTGGTTGATAGGACTCCCGATGATGACCCTGAGAATTATTAAGTTCGGCGGGTGGTCTGTGCCGCCAAACCGGCGAGCTTGCCACCCTCCCGGCGCTAGCCGTGAATATGCACCCGAGAAACGGAGTTGATAGTCCATCTGGAAGACGTGATGATTATCATGATTGAATTGCAAAATAATATCACTTCTGCTGATCTGGATTTTCTTTCAGGGAAACAAGAATCGAATCGCTTGAAAGCATTTGGAAACATGTCCAGGTTTGTCCCAGTGTTCTACTCTGGTTTGTAGATTGACTCGCGGAGTCGGATGCTTACATATGGGAAAGGTATGCTTCTGGCCAAGTCGTCCATGACATACATCTCACAAGTCATACGTGATTTGTATAGCTAAAACTACAAGACAAGTGCATGTATGGAGCAAGTCAAGTGAAGACTTCGAACTGTCTGCCTCTTTTCCACCGTAATAGTGCAGAAACATGTGTTTCAACTTCTAAATAGGGACAAGGCAACCGTATGTATGCTACCATGCGGCCGACAACATGCGAGCAGATATCATTTGCGACAGCAGATGAGCATCCACAATGTGATCATAATTAGACATGGAATCGCTCGTGTCTGAGGTGTACGGCGGCCGCCTCGGGCTGGTGTATCTGAGTATTACCTCAGCTTAAAGCTGGAAGCTGCACTTGGCCTTGAGCTCTTCAGCCGCGGCTTAGAACGCTTGGATGAATTGATTGCATTTAGTGATCGACCGGTTTTCAGGATCTGAGGGAGACAGGTTAAGAGCCCGATAACGTGAGAGGCCGGCACCTGTCGATGAAACTCCAAGCTTCAAGCTAGAACACTCTGAAATGCCATTCCCCTGAACCATGTCACACTTGCAGTCGCTCACGTGCGCTTTGATGAAGCTGGGAGCTTAGGTAAGGCAACTTCTCATGTGCTTCCCAGATCTCACTATGTTGCACAGCCACAAAATGGACTGGAAGGCTCGGAGCTTCGTCACCTTTGATGGCGAGATATGTTGCGTAATGCTCGCCAGGCTCACCAGGCTTGGAATGATGCATGGCTCAGCAAGATCCGTAGTGATTGTGTTTAAACTTGGAATACATGAGCCACCGATTGTTGGCAGGTAGGTAATAAAGATAGGCAATGTGAGGAAAGACAGGGACCTGGATCCAGGATGGTGCCGACAAAGAGATCCAGGAACAAAAGGTACTGGTGTTAGGGCGAACGCGAATTGCCCCGCTTAAAGCTATCAATAGAAACTTTAACACCCTGGCAGTGCTTCCAGGTTGGCTGGGAGCCCGCCAATCTCACCAGACCGCAGGCGTTGACTGGCTGGCAGCAGCCACCTGGTATCCCAGACAGACACTTGTTTCGCCCCGGGTCTCACCTTTGACCACTTCCCGTTCTAACCTCTCTCACGCACGCACTTCCAACCTCTCCTCCTTCTCAGTTATCTACAAACCACCACAGAACTCTTGCCATCATCGCTCTGCCATTTCCATCTCCAGAACGAACATACAGTCTTCTGCTTCCGACTGCGATTTCGCTAGCCTACTAGAAACCCTCACACCACCACCGTCACCATGCCTGAAGAAGCACCCTACGACCCTTACATCCCCAGCGGCCAGGCTGCTCCGGGACAGCAAGGCGCTGGAGGCACTGCTAGGACACAAGCGCTGCAAGCTGTAAGTTGAAATCTTCTTTTTGGGAATAACTTGTGATGGATGGCGTCCTCGATTGCGAGCTGCCGGATGCCTTCGGAAGATGACGACACCACGATCACCTGCCGCCTAGCAACGGACGCACATCACGCAGAGCATCGACGACTTGTCTTTCAAACATGTCCTGCGGCGTTCGATGCCCCAAACTTGATGAGGCAACCACTCCCGACTCTCGGTTTGGGCATCACAGGCGATTTGGATATCACGAGCGGTCGCCACGATAGCAGCCGAGTGATGACTGATCTATCATTTAAGCCTGGGGCTGCCGTTGACTACAAAGACACACGAAATTGGGCTTTGATCATCGATCGATGGGACTTGTATTTCGTCTCGATCCAACGCACCCAGAGTTCGCAATCGAGGCGCTCTTTAGTGGACGATTGGAGTTTCAATGAATCCATGCTAACAACAACAATAGCAAATCGACGACACTGTCGGTGTCATGCGGGAGAACATCAACAAGGTCTCTCAGCGTGGTGAGCGTCTAGATGCGCTTCAAGACAAGACAGACAACCTGGCTGTGTCGGCCCAAGGCTTCCGCCGTGGTGCCAACAGAGTGCGCAAGCAGATGTGGTGGAAGGTACGTGCTTCTGATTTCGGATGTATCTGGTTCTCCATATTCTAATGCAAGTTATAGGACATGAAGATGCGGATGTGCTTGATTGCGGGTATCATTATCTTGATTCTCGTCATTGTCATTCCAGCTGGTCAGTATCGATACACGACGTTTGAGGAGACAGTTGACTAACAATTGATATAGTTGTCGCAACCCGCTAGACGGAATTCGATCGCGGCGAACGGTTAGAATACATGATGATACGGAGGTAGACCTGCACGCTTTGATATCCCATCTCGCAGGCTACGAGCAGTATGGCAGGAGGGCCATCGGCATGGAATTAAGCACAAAGGAGTTTTTGTCCCGATTTAGTCGGTCTCTTTCTACGGTCCGCTGCTCTACAGACTGCTGCAGGCTTTACCCCTCTGGCAAAATGTATGGGTCGGAGCCGCAGCAGGGCGGACGAAACCCTTGTATGATGGAAGGCGACGGCGTTTTTCTCACGAATAATTAAGATCTTATGGGACACATCGTAGGGAGAATCGCAACAGCCGTTGATGAAATGTATTAAACTTGCTTTGATCTGAGTATTTCATGCTGGACATTTGGCGCGCCATGTGAGACCACACTAATAGCATGTGCCAGTAGGTTTTCGAGACGTAGTGAATGAATGGGTTGCCGTCCGAAGCTTACAGATCACCGATACTTATGGAGCTGTGCCTTATTTCTGCTGCTGAACCTCCTCGAGATGTTTGGCAGTCTTTACTCAAACTTCGCAGTATACTTCCACTTACAACTTCTTCTAAGTGCTCGTATTGGAGTGTCTCGACTGACATGTGAAGTCATTGTAGTAGTGGGATTGAATGCATGTTGACATCGCATCCGCGAATGACTCAATCCACTCAAAGTCCTCATTGTAACCACCATCGATCTAAGCACCGCATTCTAATAGAAGCCATACAAGCGGCAATTTTCCCTGCAGGGACACATACTAGAGCTGCTGAGCATGAACAGAGAAGAATTTTCTGATCAGGCCTTCTCCAGGTTTGTTGCAGCGGGCGGCAGCTTTAGTCGAGCCAATCAGTGGCTATTTGCGCGCCTCCATCCCACTTGGAAAAATCTCTTTGCAACCTAGCCCGAGGTCGGTGCTAAGATCCATCATTGCCATTGCCCCTCCACATTTAGCACCGGCAAATACGTACAAGGTGAAGACGGCGCTCCCTCTCGACACACTAACATCATATTCTCTTCCCCCCCGCTGCGAGTGTTCTCTGGCCTCGTACACGTTTCTGCAATCTGGGATACTCGCTGCTTCCTCTCCGGACCCCTTGATGGTGGCTGCTTGAGAAGCCTCTGCTCAATTGGGTTCTCAATTGCTCGCCTGGCCCTGTAATTCTCGCGAGGAAGCTACGAAGAGGAAGCACAGCTGTGCATCACCGTGAGTCACCGACATACCATTTCCCTCAACACCGCATGCAGTAGGACATCCGAGCTGCTGAATCTCGAGCTCTCTACGTGCCTAAGTTTCATTCGAATTTGTACCCCCGAGTCTTGTGTTGCGGTTGTCGCTGTGCTTTTAAGTGCTCTGACCAGATTGGAATTTGAAGAGCTAACAGTAGTGTCTCTTCAAGACGTCAACATGTTGTCCACCACAGCAAAGGCGGTCCTCCGGGCCGGAGCTCGACGAAGCCTCCCGAAGGCTTCTCGATCCCTGCCGATTGCGACTCGGCTTTGCCAGTCATCCGTTGCGCGACGAACCCTCTCCACCTCCTCGAAGCAGCTCACCGACTTGAGCACCCGCGGGATCGTTATTCAGACACTGAGCAGCGTTGGCTCTAAGAGAGAGGTTCAGCAGTACCTCTCGCACTTCACATCTGTCTCCTCGCAGAAATTTGCTGTCATCAAAGTCGGAGGTGCCATCTTGACTGATTAGTACGTATCCCCGACGTAAACACCGCATGGCTCGGCCGAGGGGTGTGGAGAGGTGTTACAAGATGCAATTTGGCTTGCATTCACCGCTTCCAATCGCATACCCTTTCTCATTCACGTCATTGCATTCTGTCCTTGTCATTGATCCTCAGGCACTGTGCCGTGCCATCCCAACCTCACACCGCCTTGTCACCGCGGGGCTCATATCATCGAGGGGTATTAGCTAACATATAGTAGTCTCGATGAGCTTTGCAGCAGTTTAGCGTTCCTATACCACGTGGGCCTGTATCCCGTTATCGTTCATGGCGCCGGTCCTCAGCTCAACAACTTGCTTGAGGATGCGGGCATCGAGCCCCAGTTCGAGGAGGGCATCCGGGTGACCGATGCGAAGACGCTAGGCGTTGCGCGACAACTATTCCTCGACGAGAACTTGAAACTCACACAGAAGCTCGAAGAACTAGGAGTACACGTCCGACCCATCTCGAACGGCGTTTTCGAGGCCGATTACCTGAACAAGGACAAGTGGGGTTATGTTGGCAAGATTACAAAGGTGAACAAGGAGACCATCGAGTGGGCTATCAAGCATCGATGCCTGCCAGTCCTCACGTCCCTTGCCATGACGCATGAGGGCCAGACCTTGAACGTCAATGCCGATGTAGCTGCCGCGGAGCTCGCACGATCTCTTGAGCCTCTCAAGGTCGTCTACCTGTCCGAGAAGGGTGGTCTCTTCGACGGAAGTGGAGGAAAGATCTCCGCAATTAACCTGGACGAGGAGTTCGACTGGTATATGTCGCAGGAATGGTGCAGGTATGGCACTCGACTTAAGATCAAGGAGGCCAAGCAACTGCTGGACACCCTCCCCCGCTCCTCCTCCGTCGCCATCATTCACCCGCAAGATCTGCAGAAGGAGCTCTTCACCGATTCCGGTGCCGGCACCCTTATTCGCCGCGGAAACAAGCTCCTGTCCTCCAGCAGCATCACCGAGGTCAACGATGTTGATCAGCTCAAGGAGGTCTTGGTTCGCGACCGCGAGGGCCCGAACGCTAGACAAACCGTTGATACCTACATCGAGTTCCTCAAGGAGAACTCGTTCAAGGCTTATTACGATGAGCCCATGAACGCTCTAGCCATTGTCCTCCCCCCTAGCGATCAGCGCTCCCTGGCTACCCTGGCGACCTTGACCATCACCAAATCGGGCTGGCTGACAAACGTTGCTGATAACATCTTCACCGCGATCAAGAAGGAATTCCCCAAGCTAGTGTGGACCGTGAAGGAGGACGATGAGAACCTTACCTGGTTCTTCGACAAGGCCGATGGCAGCATGGCTAGGAACGGTGATGTTATGTTCTGGTGCGGCATCGAGGATGGCAACGAGGTCGTGCAGGTGATGAAGGACTTCGAGACCCACGGTCGTGAGATGCTTGACAACTCTAACCTGGAGGCCCGTATGCAGCGAGCTGCTCTCAAGGCCGCCGCAGCACAGGTTCAGGCCCAAGCGCAGCCAGCTTTCGCACAACAGGCTCGCGCATACTCAACCTCAGCACGCCGTCCCGCGCTTCCCCGTAAGGCATTTGGACAGCAGACTGCCCGAGGATTTGCCACCACCACCAACCCGAACCCGCCTCTGGGCAAGAAGAATGCCTCTACCAGCGAGCCCGCCAAGGTTGCTCTGATTGGTGCGCGAGGATACACTGGACAAGCGCTTATTGGTCTTCTGAACTCCCACCCGTATATGGATCTCCGTCACGTCTCTTCCCGAGAGCTGGCAGGTCAGCCACTGCAAGGCTATGACAAGGCCGATGTCACCTACGAGAACTTGAGCCCCGATGATGTTAGGGATATGGAGAAGCGGGGCGAGATTGACTGCTGGGTGATGGCTCTACCCAACGGCGTTTGCAAGCCTTATATCGAGGCTATCCATGAAGCCCGCAAGACTGCGACCCACAAGAGTGTTATCGTGGATCTTTCAGCCGACTACCGATTCGACAAGTCTTGGACATATGGTCTGCCCGAACTTGTTGCCCGCCAGTCCATTCACGAAGCTACCCAGATCGCCAATCCTGGCTGCTACGCCACTGCTGCCCAGCTCGGTATCTCGCCTATGGTTGAGCACCTCGGTGGACAGCCCACGATCTTTGGTGTATCCGGCTATTCAGGCGCTGGAACTAAACCTTCGCCAAAGAATGACGTCGAATTGCTCACCAACAACCTGATTCCCTACAGCTTGACTGACCACATCCACGAGCGTGAGATCAGCAGCCAGCTTGGCGTTGATGTTGCTTTCATGCCCCACGTCGCAGTTTGGTTCCAGGGTATCCACCACACAATCAGCATTCCCCTGAACAAGACCATGACTTCCCGGGATATTCGCCAGATCTACCAAGATCGGTATGCAGGCGAGAAGCTGGTCAAGGTCGTGGGTGAGGCGCCTCTTGTGAAGGCAATCAGCGGAAAGCACGGCGTTGAGATCGGTGGGTTTGCGGTGCACAGCTCAGGCAAGAGAGTGGTTGTTTGCGCCACGATTGACAATCTGCTCAAGGGTGCCGCTACACAGTGTTTGCGTAAGTTACTCTCTATCTCTATCTATACCCGATACTCATGCTAATTGCGACAACAGAGAATATGAACCTTGCTCTGGGTTATGGGGAGTATGAGGGCATTCCAGTGATGTAATAGACCAGACGTGCGACTTCGCAAGCGGGTTCCAGGCATAGGAGTTTATTGGCACCCAAAAGACCCGCACAGAGAGTTCTTTGGTTTGGAATGCTTCATTTTGTACATAGATTTGTTGGGAGAAATGGTAATTATACCGGGCCGAGGCTGGAGAGCTGTCCCAGAATGCGTTGCAAGAAAAGTATTATACACTGTTTTGTTTCGAAATAACACCCTCCGAGACTCCATAAATTGCCATGTGATCCTTATTACTTCAAGATACCCATGAAAATGTAGACAAGATTTAAGTAGTCTTTTTGATTGGCCTATTTATCAGGAGGTGGAAAGGGGTAATGTTCCGGTGGTATGTGCGTGACTGGTCACATGACTCTCGAAAACCCAGCCGGCAACATCCGATCGCGAACTTGAACGCCATCTCAGCAACTCGATTTCGTAATTGTCAAGCCAGCACAGCACCAATCCGTCAAGATGGCGATGTTTCGGGCGAAGAAGCTCGACCTGGGCTGCTTCGTCAACATCAAGGTCATTCGCGACCACTCAAAGCGAAAAGCTTTTGAGCAATTCGAGCCCGAGAGGTATGCTTCACAGCTCTCCCAATGCGCCATCATCTACTAGCCATGAGCTATTCTTATAGTACTCAAGCAATGGGACGAGATGGAAACTGGTACTTTTTTTATTGGGATTATGCACTGACTCTCTTCCTCGATCAATATAGGCAAGCGCTACGCTACATCATCCAAAACACGACGCTTCCACCGAGAGCGCGGGCTGAAGCCCAGCTGCAATTGACACAAATGCATTGCTACACAAGGCCAGTGCAGATCAGGAATCGGTGTATCCTAGGTGGGAAGGGAAGGGGTATCTTCAGAGACTTCAAGATGTCGAGGGTAGGTCCATTGGTCATCAAGGTTGATGCCGAAGGGCAAGTGGCTAACTCAGGATTATAGTACAACTTCAGGTTACAGGCCCTAGCGGGCAACCTGCCAGGTGTAAAGAAGGCCAGCTGGTAGAGGGAAAACTGCATGTCCAGGTTGAAGTTTGTTATCGAAAGTGGTATCAGTTGAGACGACAACAGCTTGCCTCGTCGTAAGTCAATACTACAGCTCATTATTGAACATGGTATCGCGAGTTATGGCACAACAAAGGTACTCGAAAGAGATCAATTGTACCAAGGAGCATTGTTGAATGCTGTGTACAAATTGCTGTATATATGATGTATCAAAATACATAATTAAAATCTCTCAAATCACTGGTTTGTTTAGAAAGGAGTTTGTTGCGGTTGCTGCGTCACCACCACTGCTGTCTGTTTGCCCACTCGCGTCTCCGAAATCTTTCTTGTTGCTCCCACAGGCTTTACCCTACTAGTCCCTCTGACAAGTGGTAGACATCTCGTCGCCTTCTTTTCGAGACAAGCAAGGCAGGCACGCGTACTTACCTTTTGTCTAGAAGACACTTTTCTTCCCAGCCCTCTTTCACCTTTTCCTGGCACACTCGTAGCTTAGGCTTTCGGCTTGCCACTGCTCCCTTGTCATTCTCCTAAGCTCAATATTGCCTCGCAACTCACAGCCATCCAACCGGACCCCGTCCCGTACATCTCACATCTCATCTTGATCACAACTGTGACAAAGCATTTCAAGATGTTCCGTCGTCTCTGGTCTGGTCTGCCTAAGGACCCCCTATTTGTCTCTGACCTCAAAGCGCTTGGGTATACTACCATCCACAATACTCTGCCACAAAAGTCTCACCTTGCTGACCCTCTTTCATCGTAGCTACTATGTCAACGACAAAGATGAGATTCGTCTCATCGCCAACCCAAAGTTCTACTTCAAGTTCTTCTTCTACCGCAATGATCGCTTTAATGAGCGTCAGCGCTTCCACTTCAATGAGGCTGTCGAGTGTCTTGTTCACAAGCGCCTTGAGGCCGAGGGTCTGCAAAAGATCATCCTGCCTTTTGGTGCCGAGACTTCTGACCCTCATATCCCCATCTTCGTGAGCAAGGACATCGAGTCGAAGTCCCGCGTCATTGTCATCTTCGGCCAGAGTGAGCAGGAGCTCGGTGTCCTCGCCCATCGCGTGATTGGCGGCATGGGCGGCGTCAACAAAGGCAGCATGACCTCTGTCGTCAAGGCCATCAATGAGCAGACCAGCAGCAAGCACAACTCCGAGCCCCCCGGCATCATCCTCGCCAACATGGGCGCGTTGTGGTGGTGGCCCGAAGGTAAGCGTGCCCTCAACAGCCGCAGCAGCCAGGCCGTCCCCATGAAGAGCGCCGTCCACCTCGGCCGCTACTACGACCCGAAGGTCAATGCCGTCGAGGGCAACGCTACTCCCGAGCAGCACGTTGCGTACATTTTCGATGAGGTCCTTCCGAAGCTTGTGAACAACCAGGCGCGGCTTGATGTTGTTGTCCTGGGCGATGCGACTCATTTTGTGGAGTGGCATCTCAACGACGATAGCAAGTGGGCGGCTTGGGGCCCGCGCATGAACAGTCTGTCGATTGTGGGCGGCTCGTACGACAAGAAGTATGTGGAGTGTGATGGGCTGAAGCAGTTCCTGCCTGAGGTAGGTTATTGAATTTCACACAAGATCTGGGACTTACTCTAACCAGAATGAATAGAAAGCTCGTGCCTGGGCCATCTCCTCTGAGGAGCTGGATAAACCCCTGTCCGGCCCCGATGGTAACCCGAATACATCGACCTTCACCAACCTCGGCTGTCCGGTCTTCAGCAGCGGCGAGCCGTACTTGATCGAGACAGCATTCATTCAGTGCCACAAGTCTGTGCTCAAGTTCATCCAGGAGGTCGCCAACACCACTGACTACACGAACCCGGAGATCGTCGTGACGTTCGCCGACATCGAGGAGGGTGGAGATGCTTGGGGTGAGGAGACTGATGAGAAGAAGCTCGAGATCATGACGAAGGATGAGTTCAACGACATGGTGAAGTCTGATGAGGCAACCCCGCCCAAGGATGCGAAGAAGGAGGACGATGAGGTCTAGAACATTCGGACTCCTGTCATGCCCTTTCTGCCTTGGGTCTGATTCCAGGTTGAACAAGAGCAGTCATTGGACAGATGGATCTCAGTGTGCTTGATATGCAGTTTGCGCTGAACTTTGGAGGATGAGACAGCTAGTATCATTGCTCGGTACCTAAGCTGACATTACACAGTCCATAGACCGAATTACACATTTTGTTGATTAAACCTTGAACACCGAGCTTATAGGTCTTCCCGAAGGCTCGAGGTCCTCGAGAAGTTCCCGTGCTCTCCTTAATCTCTCCTTCACAACCTTCTCTTCTGCTGCCCACCTGCCATGCTCCTCCGTCTTTCCATCACCCCAAAGACCAAACCAGCTTGAGCTAGACTTAGTACTCAATCCGCTGGCTTTCTTGCGTTCCTCCTCATCCACTAATCTCGCTACCATTGTAGCCCAGTTATCCAAGCCCGTACTCAAACATTCTCTGCACGTAGTCTTTGCTGCCGTGTCTTTTGTGGCTCGGCCGAGCTTGTGGAGCTGCTCCTCTGCAATATCGACTGCCTCTCGCGTCCAGCCTATACCTTCCTCGCGTGCAGCATTCTGTGCGGTGTACATGATTTCTCCGATATGCAGATGCAGCGCAGCCTCCTCACATAGTTCTTTAGCGTCCCGCACCGGGGGTGATGTGCCGTCATCTGGAGGAGGAGGGTATTCGGGTGGCTTCAGAAGCGCCTGTGCCATGTTCCAGATTTTATAACCCCAGTTTTCGCCAAAGTCGCCTCCTACTGCTAGAGGAATCAGAGGCGATTGGGTAGACATAAGGGGTAATGATCTACGGGCTTTCAATATCGAGATCATGATAGGCAAAGCTGATGAAACGTCATCATGCCGGGCTTTGAATGTCGCCAATGCCGTGAGTGAAGTGAGGAGATTGGCAGATGGCTTGCCCGCCTTCTCGTTTAGAACACCAGTCTTCGGATTCAAGAGCACCGGAGCACCCGGAGTGTATTTCTCTTCGATGGCGATATTCACTGCGTCCTCGTATATGATACTCGCGGGCCCGATCAGCTGCTTGTACTCCAGCCACGAAGCGTAGGAAAGGGCGGCCTCCATGCGTTGTCTGCTTGTGAACCCATCTGTTGATAGAAGCTTCAAATACAGCTCGTCTGGTGAGGGAAAGCCGGTTGGCTCACAATCCTCTTCTCTCGGGGCACTCTTTGCGCCGGGCGGGATAGGCTTCGGTTTCGGGTTGGATGGTCCGACGACCACCTCAGGGGGAAACATAATACCCCTTGTCTTATCGCGAACCCAGCCATCCACATGTTCCGACGCCTTTGCGTACGCTAGCAGCGACTCGAAGTATCCTCGTCGCCATGCTTCAGGCATAGCTGTGATGTCTTTGCTTCCCGCCGGATGGTCGTGTGGTAGATCCTTCACGCCGGCACCCTCCAGCTTCGGGTCCTCCAGCTTGTCAAGCACATCTCGTAGCATCTGAAACACGATCACCCAGTCTGTAGCGAATGTGTCCTTCCTATCTCTCTCTGTCAAGGCGCCGCGCAGGAGCATTCTAGTTCGGTACGACCACTCGTGAGGGGTGGGATGTTCGCGTTCCATCTGTTCCTGCGCAAGGGCCCAATATGCTGCGCCGCCGCATCCTAGGATGGCCCATATGTATATGCTATACTTCACACTGAGCAGCAACTCCCGCTTGATCCATCGCTTGCGCTCGGTTGTCAAGTAGCGCCATTGTTGGCGTTGGAAAGATGGGATGGAGAGAAACGGAAGTTGTGGCCTTGTGTTGCGGAGCGCACTGGAATTCTTTGTAAAGGTGCGTGATGCATTGGCGGGTTTCGCAGGTCGGAAGAGGATCCGGCGAAGAGCGAGCCGCGGACGCATCTTTGTGAAGCCGAGTTCGATGTCGGCAAGTTTAGTCGGTCTTCTTTTGATGTAACTGATACTTGCGGTGACAGGTCTGACCGTGTCTATTGCATTGCCCCTTGGCAAAGTTGTAGCAGACCGTATCGGTGCCCAATCAATGCGTTGTCGATGACACTTCACTCAATTGCGGTCGTTCAGCAGTTGGATGTTGAGCTCGAACCCAAAAATTGTCGTCGACTGTGGGTAACTCTCACATGAGCCGCGCTACGCTAACAGACAGCTAGAGTGGTCCGAGCTCCCGGCAGGTCAAGCCGCTCCTCAGCGCCACTTTCCTCTTTCGGGCAGCGAAATGCAATCTGATTGAGTCCTGTCGTCTCGGCATTGGACAAACGATGAAGACAGACGCTAACACTAGAAACAATGATATCTTGATGCAGCTTCTCTCTACAGCTCCTCTGCTGCTTCGTGGCTCTTCTATAAACTATAGCTGAGTGGTTCTCTACATGTGCGCTGCTATCGCCACCTCATTTGTGTTCTGCCAGTGATCATCGTGGGATCCGGTTGCTGCGCCAACACTATCACTGATTTGGTAGACGCTGCTGACCACCTGGTGTCGTCACACAGATGAGCTTTTGAAGAGCCCCAACTCACCGAATTTCCAAGTTTCATCGAAATCGAGGTTGAAGAGCCTTTAACTCAATTTGAAGAGTCTCTGATGCGCTAGCATTACGGCGCCTGAGAGCCGGTTTTGGGACTGGCGAAACTAGGAATCGGACTAATTCAACCGGACTACTGGTAATCATGGAGGTGGGCCACATTCCAACTCCCCACCATTAACTGTCGAGTCGATATTCAACTGAGACCACATAAGGCTGATGAATGACATAGTATGTCGCGAAAAGAGCATTCGTTAATGGATGGACAGTTACACCAATCCCGCACTTCACACTGTCAGCGTCCGGATTAGTAGCTCTCGCTGATTTGAGCACAATTGCGCAACGAACCGCTCTTACAGGAGGCTCTTCCTGGTTGGACTCTTTACTTCTTGCTCCTGGACTTCACTACCAACAAGCAGCTGATGCGCTCGCCAAAGAGGGTGGCATAATCCTCAATGCCGTCGAAACAGAGCGGGATGGCAGGGTCTTGACGTATTCCATCCTCAACCAGGCAACCATCAACTATATCGAAAGGATCGCCAGGCCTGGCGAGATTGTCACTCTCGATGTTGGGCAGATTCCTCCTCGCTATCGTCGACGGAAACGAGCCAGCCTTGGCCAACGAGGCACCGTTTGGGCGGGCAACGACACCCCTGACCTAGGGTGGTTGTCACATCTGCTGTATTTGACCAGTCCCATTTTAACCATCGTTGCTTTCACATTTATGATACTACTGGAAGACTGTAAGAGAAATTTCTCTTTGTTGTTGTTTCCAAAGTCTTGCGCCTGGTTGCCTTCTTTTCTTTTTGAGATATGACTCGTCCGTTGGTAATCCTTTTACCCTGCCACCCCATTGGATGGCGTTTAAGTTTGATTCCAAACCAACATGCTCCAATGTGATTTACCCCTTAACATGTCATTTTACAACGCCATCGCGTTTCGGATGTTTGCTACACATCTGCAGGCTCATCGCTGCCACAAGGCTGACATCTTCTCTGATAGGGTGGGGGCTAGGATTCCTGAGCGCTTTGATGCTCTCCCGCATACTCAATATCTGGGTTATCAAGCAGCGATCCATGCCTGCTCGTAAACACAAAGAAGACGACCACGGTCAAGGGCGCCACAACCAGCTCACCGAGGTAAGGCAACCTATGAAATGCAGCCGACCGTGAAGGCAGGCCGACCAACGGCCCCGTTTCATCACCAACATCCCCCTCCCCCTTTCTTCAAATTGCTACTTACACCCCACGTCAACAGTACCTCGTCGACCTGGGCCACGGACGAAGCGTCTGCCTACGAGGCATGTCCGACGACCTGCAGGCCATCACCGCGACCGCCTGGCTGCGCAACAAGACCTTCGTTGAAGGCTACCTCGAGGCCATGGCCAAAGTGCTCGTGTACCTGGTGGCCGCCTTCTCGGGCAACATCACGCAGGCCGGCTCCATCATCATGATGTCGCTACTGCTGGTCACGGCGGGCCTGCTGGCGCTGAGCAACGCCCACGCCAAGTCGCTGCGCAACAACGGGCGCGTCGTGTCGCCCACGACGCCGGTTCCGTCGCGCAGGGGCACCGTGGACGATCCGCCGTACCCGGGCGGCGATCACAGCACGACATCGTGGCCGGGAAGTAGCGGTGCGTCCGGCATGACGGGGATGGATGACTGGGCCGAGAAGGGCCAGATCGGACACGCGCTGCAGCATCATGGACCGTTTGACGGCGGCGTTGATTATAGGTAGCACGTAGGCCGTGATTCTCTTTCATTGATAGACCTCCGTCTCCGATTCCTTTCGACGAAGCAAGCGAGCACATGAGGAGTACATGGGAGTTCGGTGCAATTAGAGGTCATGTTCAGCACATTCATCGTACCTATCAGCATTTGTGTACCACATACTAGCACAGACTCGATATTGTTACTCGTGGTCAATTGAGCATCTATAGAGTCATATCTATCGTAATGTATACGTCGAAAGTGATATGTTGTGCTTCTCAAAGACGGAAAAGGGGGCTTCCTACAAGACAAGAGCAAACAGTCGGGAATCATAAGCAAGAAGATAATGAGAGGGTATTTTTGGCCAAACTCCAACGGTACAATATGACCCTAGTAGTGATAACATCCCTGATAAGACGCGGCAGAGAGAAAGATATTCATGATAAGTGAAGAATAACCGAGGTGAGAAATCGGAATGTTCAAAATGCCGTCCAGTGAAAGCTGACTAGTCGACGAAGAATTACTCCTCACAGCAACGCACAACCTCGCACAGAGACCGAAGCAACAGCGGGTCGAGATCCTTCAAGCCATCCGTCATAATCGGAGCGTCCTGCTCGCCGCCGCCAGTGAGCTTGAGCGTCGAGACCAGGTTGGCAATGCACTTAGCAAGTCCGTCCCGCAGATCCGCAAGAGTAGATTCGGGGCCAACGGTAGTGCCTTTCTTGTCGCCTCCGAGACTCAACAGCCGCTTGTGTTGCTTGCCGACCGGCTTCCGCGGAATCTGGAACACATCGGTGGTGCTGCAAGCTGCGGCGCGGGAGAGGCCGAGGAGGCTAGCGGCCTTCTTAGGGACGCGTCGCGGATCCTCGTCGACTACTGGGTAGCCATCGTCGTCCAGCCCGGCTTTCGTCACGCGGATGTGCTTCTCGCGAGCGCCGCTGCAATCTATCGGACATATGGAAGCCAAGTAGTTGTAGGCCAGGAGATGCGCATAGAGTGCGTCGCACAGATAATCTGAACCAAGGGGGAAGATATTGCGAATTGGAGCCCAGTTCGGTGTTGAGGTCGCCGAGGCTGTGGACCCGAAGTCAAGGCCATTGGAGCTATCGTCGTCGCGCGCGGGCGAGTTGGACTTCGACGATCCATTGCCGAAGCGGCTAGAAAGCAGTTTAGAAAATTTCCATCGTTTGGTGGTAGCTGTCGGTGATGGTGGAGTTGGCACAGAAGGAATCGAGAATGGCGCCTCGATGCTGCCTCTCGATGAAGAGCGCTTAAGCTTCTTCGAGTAGCTGCGAATGGTCTCGATGGTTAAGCTGGACGTCAATAGCATTGTTTCCGGGAAGTTTGTGATTGAGACGCGCAACGTCTCCATAATCTCCGGCGGAACGCGGATGCCCGGTGATGGTGGAGTCTGCTTCACTCGAAGAGGAGAGGCAACAGCGAGCTCGCCGCTGGATTCTAGCCAGGCTTGAACATTAATCAGACCGGGCATGTCCTTCTTTGGCAGTGCCGGCTTCTCGTGAAGTTCAGACTCGCGGGTCTGGGGTAGATCGGCAACGTGATCTTCCTCGGCAACACTTCGCGGTGGGGATGGAGGGTTCACCTCTCGCTCAACGGGCAAACGATGCGTGGACACGACTGGGCCAACCGCAGCCTCGTCCTCGAAGCAATCGTCAGGATGACGGCTAATGCTACTGATATTTCGTCGATGAGAATACTGTTGAAAAGCATTTGAATCAAAGGAGAGGTCAGGAAGTGGTGCAAAAGAGATGAGGCCCGAGTTAGGCCGCGAGAAGGACGGATCTCCTGGAGCGAGATAAGTGACTCGGTGGCTCAAGGACGACCTTCTCTTGGGGACGTGAATGATAGAATGCTCTGAAATGCGTTTCTGAGGTGAAGGGGCGCCCGACGAAGTGTGCGGTCGTTTAGAAGGTGAACTCGCAGTAAGCGGTCGCTCCAAATTCAGGGTCGGTTCGGAATCCCAGATGTCGGGCTCCAAATCGACCCAACTGCTACCATCAACGCGACTCATTGACACGTGAGGTTTGTGTGACGATGAGGAGCATCTTGCTGAGTTGACTGAGGTAGCGGTAGTGGTGACCGACCGTTGCCGAGTCCGGATGGAAGGGGAAGCGGCGTCTGTTGATGAGTCGGTTTTGGAGTCCGAATTTTCTTCATAATCCAAATCCAGGACCAAGCGTCCCCCGTTTTCTTCCTCTCGCATGCGGAATTCGCCCTTGTGGTACCTTGTTCGCGGCGGCGACCCCGACTTCAAAGTCTCTGTATGTTCTGCCGGGAAGTCCTGCACGTCGATAGTCTTCTGTGTCTGTAGTCCATCCTGCAGGGGATCATTGTGTGACACCACCCAACGTCTACTGATGTTGCTCCGCATAGATTGTGAGCGCTCTCGACCTGAACTAGTCATAGGTAATGAAGGCGCCCCGGCAGTCATACACCGAGACTGAAATAGCGGCTCCGACATCTCAAGATCATGAGCCAGAAACTCTGGGAGGTTGCAGGTCATTCCAGCCTCGACAGCCATATTCCTTTTGCCAGCCTTGGAAAAAGCAAGACAGGACTCAGTTTTCAAAAAGATCTGCGCGAGATCGAGGCCTTAAGACGATCGACTCTGCTTGTACACCCTGCTCGATTCTACGCTTCAACAACCTTCGAGTATCCAAGCATCAGTTGAGCTACCCGAACGTGACGGACCCCTGCCTGTGTATCTGTCACAACAGCAGAGTGAGTAAAAAGAGGCTTGCCGCTGGGTGGGATCAAAGTTAGGCTACACCACAGCATCTATCATGAGGGCGAGAGGGTCTGACAATTCGGAAACAGGGGCCGGATGGGAAATTATAGGAAACGTTGCGATCCGCCAAGGGGCAGAAACGAGGAATGGCATGCAGGCTGGCGTCTCTGAGCAAAGGGCTTTTCCCATGTCGTGACACCAGGCCAATAACTAGCTCAGAAGCCAGTGGCCACAAATGAACGGGGCCGCAAGACATTGTCTAGTGTGATGCCCACGAATTTTCGTGGATTGGGATGCCACAATGGAGGGAATGCAGCAATATCTCTGCCTCTACTAGACATACAAGACATTAACACGTCAGGGCGCGTTGGCTTCGGGTCTAAGGGACCACTAGGTCCATGATGGCCCGCCGTTTGGACTAGGTACCGTTGACGCGCTAGACTAGCACGACCGCCTCTCCACTATGTATGATCTTAGGAATGCAACCAAATCTACATAGTAGGATGCGGCGGCGCGTGGTGGGGAATTCTGAAGGAGGGGAAGGTTGTATAGGTTGTGTGGGTGCATGTCTGCGTGACGCTCGTATCTATCCGTGACGACCCAGACAGAGATGCAGAGCAGCTGCTGTATGGTTCAAAGGAACGAAAACCACAGGTTTTCAAGCACGAGGTCTCCCGAAGTGCGTGCAGCACGCCCAGCTGCACACTAACCGGGACCGGCAGAGAGCGACAGGGGACGCATGCGAACCAGCGTCGTCGAAGCCTCTGATGCGGGTGTATTCAGGAGTCAGGGAGGCTGCAAGACCTCGGGCGGTGGCATGAAAGCTGTGCAACCTCAACTTTGCACGCGGCATCTTTCTCAGCTCTCTCGTCCACAGGCCTCGAAGAGAGAAGCAATGCGCACAGACGGCTTGCAGATGGACTAGCCATCGGAGGAACACTGTTCCAGACTGGCATGGCATGGCCAAGGTGAGACCTTTGAGTGGGATGGACGGCCATGGCTGGAATCTGGCACGTATCACAGGCTGATGGACGCGACTGCACGGCCAGAGATAAACTCGAGTTGACAAGAAATAAATGAGACGCCTCCCGTTGCCTTGTTTCTGGTGTCGAGTGTCATCAATGGATAGGTGGATGTCTCGATAAGCTCTCACCCGGGATACTCGGCCGGTCGTCGTCGATATCCAGTCTACTGCATAGCAGGGGATGGAGACAGATCTGAGCTGGCTCACCCACGGGCCACCCCTTTGCAAGCGGTGACGATGCGGCTGGTCCATAGTCTATCTGTCAGGACAGGGTCTCGAGGACCATTGACCAGAATCTGGGACTAGGAGGCCTGGTGATGGTGTGGTGGACAAGTCGGGGTCAGCTAGCAGAGGCGGAGGAGGAAGAGGAGAGGAGGAGCGATCGGCGAGGGAAGAAAAAGAAAATATCTGGCCCACAAGACTCCCAGCCACGGATGCTTTCCTTTTCCCTTCGACTCGTCATAAAACTCAAGCAGGAAAGAGGAGTCGAAAGAAGCATTGTCGCTGCACGTTAGCCTCTTATGGTCTTGCTTGTCGCATCGCATCGCATCGTCTGCCCGACTGTGCCGTCTCCGGGCCTCTTACACCAGGCTATCTGATGCATCGTATGCATCCTTGATGATGACGATGGCGGAGAGCAACAACGCTTTGTACACTGACTCCCTCTTTCGGGCGGGGTAACACTGCAAGATGGGTGCTGTATCCAACCCAACACCCAGCTCATTGGAAAAACACGGCTAATACGGCGGCCAAGTCGATATTTGGTCCTCACCTTCGTCACTCGACGACGCAAGGGAGGCAGATAGCTGACAAGTGCAAGTTTTATTTTGGGTGCGCGTGCTGCAAAGGGCGGATGGAATGGAGCAGGTAAATGCATCCTACTCCTCGCCTAAGCTAGAGTGAGGTAGCGCTGCAGCACCGCTGCACGGCGGGGTCTGCTAGCGCCGATTTGCCTCTCCTCGAGCGCTGCAAGTCACTGTCGTGCCGTTACGCCACTGAAACTGCCAGCAGCCCTTGCCATTCCGGGTCCCGAGAGGGTGCGCCTCAAGCCATAGGCTGCATTCTTAGTGGCCAATCCAAGTGCACCATGCTACTCCTCTAAATAAAAAAATATTCACAACGAAACGGCTTGCACGAGAAAGAGAGACGAGGCAGCAAAGACAGGCAGACATTAGTTGAGAGGTGACGATCGGCCGTTTCAACATCATCTTCGAGACAAAAATCCACGAGGTCAGCCCAGCAGCAGAAGCAACCAACGCAGAAACGAGAAACAAGCATGCTGCCCGAGGAGTTTTTCTCCTGCATCTGCGGGCCACCACTCACCACCAACACCGCTCTGGCAAAGGACGTTGGCATCTACGCCCACACCCTGTGGCCGACCTATGCCGCCAAGTCAAGCTTCAAGAAGAGCTCTGCGCCGATCAACTGCCTCGCCGTGAGCGACTCTCACGTGTTTGCTGCCCAGCATGAGAAGGCTTATGTTCACGTGTACTCGAGGCTGCGAGGCAACCAGGAGGCCTTCGTAGCGTTTCCAGAGAGGATCCGATGCTTGACCCTGATAAATGACGTGCTCATTCTCGGGACAGCAGAGGGCAGGATCATGCTGTGGGAGGTAAGCACCCTGCAACGATCTCCCTTGGAGTTGAGTTTTCTAGTTCTAACGCGGCTCAGTATTGCACGGGCAGGCTCGTGTCAACTCCGCCATGCCATGTCCAGGCCGTGTCCTGCTTGGCTGTGACCCCTTACCACCTGCTCACAGGCTCAGAGGATTCCAACATTAGCGTGTGGAATCTGGCCCAGCTCTTGCAGCTGGATGCTACGGCTGAGCATGAGCCGGACCGGAGTCTTTCCAATCACAGAGGTGCTGTCACCTCTCTCGTTGCTGGCCAGAGCACCAATGAAGACACCAGCGTATGCGTTTCTGCCAGCAAAGACAAGACCTGCATCGTCTGGAACTACCAGACAGGAGCCGTTCTTCGTACTCTGTTGTTTCCTAGCTTCCCTCTATGTGCTGTGCTAGACCCCGGCACACGTGCTCTCTATGTTTCAACCGAAGATAAGTCCATCTACTCTGTGGAGCTCTTTGCCGAAAAAGCTCTGCTTGGACAGCAAAGTGAAGAGGCCAGCTCAACTGTCGTGCAAGTCACAGCTCCGTTCGGTGTTGCCCCGGCAGAGTCTGGCCCTGCTTCCTGTTTGGCAGTGACCTACGACGGCACTGTTCTCTTGTCCGGTCATCCACAGGGCCAGATTCACATCTGGAACTTAGGCGATAGCAGTGCAAATACAAGTACGCGGGAACTTGCAAATCTTAATGCTGCTGTCACGAACCTGGTATTTGTTTCGCCGCTCTCATCTACTAGCCCAACCAAAGCTTGGACTATCGTCAAGCCAACACAGGCAGAACGGAGCTATACTCTCACAACTCACTTCGAAGAAGATCTCGGAGCTGACACAAAGTTCAATTCGCTCCTGAACACCCCGGGCTTCTCCCAGGAAGTGTTAGACCGCGCAGCTTTAGCTTTCCAGCAACCAGCAGCCAGCGGCGCCGGTGACCCAGAAATGCAGCGCCAAATTGATGAGTTGTGGCAGATAATCAACGAGCAGAAGATCCTCCAGAAGGAGACGGTGCAGAAGCTAGCTGAGGCCAAGCTTGCCAAATTGGCTCGTTCGTAGCTCTTCGCGTTTCAGATTGCGCATCTGGAGCTTAGTTGGACGTTCGCATCGAACCCCTAGGACCCCCACCATCCCGCACGGATGTGTTGAACCCAGAGTTCCCGTGGGGCGTTGAGCACGTTTACTCGGTTGCAAAGCCCTACATCCAAGCGTGTCGGGGCGCATGATGCCTCAATGCGCTGTCGTTCCATGGCAGAGCCGCGTGGCTGCTGTTGCGCTGATGCCAAGCCTGGAACACGGCAGTGGCGGGATATGTTTGATAGCCCTCACGAAAATGCCCCTTCACGGCAGAATCTCCCATGGATCGACAACATCGCTTTATCAATGCTTATCTTATCGGCAAATCTGCCAGCGTTGTCCCATCCTACGCCTGAACCCCTGAAATGCTTCACCCAAGGTCTCGGGGCATTTGAAATAGTATAGGACCCTGCTTGATACTAGACTTCAGACGCTCGGGCAACCCTTTTTGTCCTCTAGCTACTGGGACAATTGGCCCCGAGTGCGAGGGCGGTACGGGGTGCAGACCCAGTTTCAGCGATGTCTTGCGACCATTGTTCAATGGAGTTCATTGACAGGGGCCGAGGACTGAGAATGATGCGCATTCATAACTTGGCATGCTCGCTGGGGATTCGATCTTGTGACTTCTTCCCCTCCTTGGTGGAGCTGCACACGGCCTGGAGCGACGATTGAAGATGCGGTTCAGTGTATTCGCCAGCATACTTGCTGCCCTGGCGGTAGCAAGTGATGCCAAACCGCTCCGGCGCTCCCTCAATCATGTCGTTCACGAAGAGAGGCCACTTGTCCGGAGAAGCTGGTCCAGATCCACCCGCGTGCACAGCACGGCGGTCCTGCCTGTACGGATAGGCCTGGCACAGCAGAACCTGCACCGTGCTGAGGAGTTCATCAGTGAGGTTGCTCACCCCGAGTCTCCTAATTACGGCAAGCACTGGTCACCGGAGAAGATCATCGAGACGTTTGCGCCGAAGAAGGAGGCGGTAGACGCTGTCATGGAATGGTTGGAGTCGGAGGGTATCAGCTCGAGCCGAGTCAAACAATCAGCATCGAAGAATTGGCTCTCTTTCAATGCCACCGTTCGAGAGGTTGAGCATCTGCTGAAGACTGAGTACCATATCTATAAGCACTTCTCTTCGGGCCACTCGCACGTTGCTTGTGACAAATACCATGTTCCTGAACACCTTAAGGAACATATTGACATCGTGACTCCGACTGTGCATTTCGACCAGCGAATTGGTGAAGCCCGGAAGAACAAGCAGAAGGCGCTTTCAGATGAACATGTCCAGGAACTCAAGAAACGGTCCGATTTATTGAAGAAGCGACAGAGTCGTCCAGAACATGGCATTCTAGGTTCGCCGTCAGATGGCTCAAATCCCAAGCAGGGCGCGACGATTACAAATGCCCTAATGGATCTCAATCAATGCGACACGATGATTACCCCGGCTTGTCTGCGTGCACTGTACGCAACACCTCCGGGGACACTTGCCTCGGCCAACAACACGCTGGGTATTGTTGAATACACGCCGCAAGCGTTCTTACAGAAGGATCTGAACCTCTACTTCCAACAATTTGAGACAAGGCTGGACGGGAAGTCTCCCATCGTTCAGCTGCTGGACAATGGTGTCCTGCAGACTCAAAATCAAAGCTTCAGCTTCAACGGCGAGTCCGCACTCGACCTCGAGTTCGCCATGGCGTTGATCTTCCCTCAACAAGCAACTCTTTTCCAAGTCGGAGACCTTGTCCAGGGAGCGAGCTTCAACAACTTCCTTGATTCTATCGACGCCAGTTTCTGCACGTTCCAGGGCGGCAATTCCAAGGATCCGAACGTCGACGCCCAATACGCGAGTCGGGTCGGCTGCGGAACGCACTCCCCAACGAATGTCATCTCCACAAGCTACGGCTACAATGAGGGAGATCTCAGCGCGAAGTACGAGGAGAGACAATGCGCCGAGTACATGAAGCTAGGACTGCAAGGTGTTACCGTGGTTTACTCCTCAGGCGACTTTGGCGTAGCCGGCAACGGTGGCCAATGCATTGATCCTCTGACTGGCGCTTACAACAACGGCACCAGCGGCATCTTCAACCCATCGTTCCCAGGGTCGTGCCCGTGGGTGACGTCCGTTGGAGCGACACAGGTCTTGGAGGGCTCTTCGGTCCGGACGGCGGAGAGTGCATGCTCGACGGTGATCTTTTCGGGAGGCGGTTTCTCAAACGTCTTCCCAATGCCGTCATACCAGTCCAAAGCTGTGGAAAGCTACTTCGCCGACTCTGCGCCTCCATATGGCGCTGACCGCTTCAACAATTCAAAGACAGTCCGAGGGTTCCCTGACGTCTCAGCCAACGGTGCCAACTACGTGACAGCTGTGAACGGGAACTTCTCCCTGTCCTTTGGAACGTCTGGTGAGTTGTAATCTTTTCGACTGAACTATCACTTAGCTAATCAACAGCAACAGCCTCTGCACCGGTCTTTGCGTCTATCGTCAACCTCATCAACGAGAAGCGAATCGAAGCCGGTAAGGGCCCCGTAGGCTTCATAAACCCTGCCCTGTACGCCAACCCGCAGGTTCTCAACGACGTGGCAAATGGCAACAACCCAGGCTGTGGGACAGATGGGTTCGAGGCCGTGGCTGGGTGGGATCCTCTGACTGGCTTGGGGACGCCAAATTATCCCGCGATGGAGAATCTCTTCTTGAGCTTACCTTGATTAGACGTGCTCAGAAGTGATGTATGATGTGAAGGGCGTTTACGTGTATTTGGCGCTGGGACATAGAATAATTCGATAGGGTTGACCTCAATAGCTGGTTTATTTCATCATCACCATTAGAGTCGTTTCATTGCTCCAGTGTAAGTTGGACCACTGGGCCATTTTTGCTGTACGGTTCAGAGTCAACCTCTCAAAGTCAGAAAGTAGACAAAACATGATGTTCATACGCTGTTTCATATTGTATTGTGTGCATCAGGCATTCAAGGTCGTGTATATGCCATGTGCTCCCATTATATATTGCCAAAATCGATATCATCCATTCCCTCCCTCGTCCAGCCCAGCGTCATCGTCGCCCAAAGATCGTGATACACCGCAGGCTGAGATACTTCAGCCGGGCCCCCAGCGCCAGAAACAGAGCCAACAGTAGATGGTAGCTTAGTATTGATGAAATCCTCCTCCCATAACTCGATAAATGGATCGAGGCTACCGTCTAGCATAGGGCACCCGACCATTGTCTTGTCAATCGGCCCAGGATGCGGCGGGTTCAGCGCGGCCAGGCGCTTGTCCCACTTGCGCTTCACCACGCCGAGCACGACCTTGCTTGCGGAGACGACGTCGGATGGCTTGTTCGAAGCCGGCGTGAGGTCCGCCTCTTGGTATGCCAGCTTGTCCAGATAGTAGCCCAGGTTGAGTTCGTGTCGGGCCGCGCCGGCGTCCCACTCCGGACATACAGCGAGGGGGAAAGACAGCTTGAAACTTAGGATGATGGCGACGATGAAATGGTCCCAGTCCATGCCGCAGAAGTTGACGAACTCGGACGCCGGCAAGGCAATGATGTACTCAAAGAAGGTGCGCAATATGTTGAGACAGGGTCGCAGGCGATCGGGGCTCTGTCTTATGCCTGGCTGATCGAGATCAAGCTTCTTAGCGGTGGGCAACTTGAGTAGGGGTGCGCCGAAGATGTACATTTCCGTGAAAAGATTAGACATCGTGAGGGTGGCTAGCATGTGTGTAAGTAACATGTTCCTTTTACGTCGATCAAAATACTCACGAGTTGATGAGATATCGTGAGGCATGTTGCTCTGCCATTCCCTCAGCTGCGTCTCCATTCCTTTCATGAGCAGTGATGTTTGGTAATCATTTATGGAGTGTTTTTGGTTTTTCCGCAACACGGCAACCTCTTCCATCAAATGCTCCATTCGCACAAGCCATGCCAATAGTCTGTCACCAGAGGCTTGCTCATGACCGCCCAAGATGTTGGAGCAGGTTGTCGTCCACTGTGAATACCGTAAGCTAGGCGCCCTGCCCCATGCAGTCGCAAAGCTCTCGCTGTCTGTTAGTATAACATCCGGGTATCAGCATCGTGAAGACTTACTTAGTCGATAAGTAATAACAAGCTAGATATGCTCTGATACCAGCCATGCGCTCAACATCTCCTTGGCTTTGGGTGATGTCATCCTCCAGCGGCTGGTCCAGGTCTAGGTCACGAACTATATCTGCTGCCATGCGAATGTATTGCAACGCTTGCCTATTGTGAGGTCGCAAATGAAAAGGATACCTGTCTCCATGCGTCAGACTCTGTGCTTTGTGATCAATCCACAATTGAAGTCGTCAGTCAAATAGGTGAAGAGCTCTTACCAAGCACAGTACACGAGCAACCCCTGGAGCAATTCCAGACTTCTTTCCCCGCCGGCAACAAACTTCAATCCCAAAACTTTTCGGAACTCTTCGTCATACAGTGTATGGCCCTGAAGTGTCCTGCTTCCGCTTGCAGCCGATAAGATCGCAAGCAGCACAAAGGGGCTATCTCTTGCTAGAGTGGGCACACTAACATCATCGGGCAGCAGGATGACAGGGAAATGGGTTAGCATCCCGCGAAAGCTCTGGAGAAGGCTCTCGGCACTCTCGAGGTTGAACTGTGGACGGATACTGAAGCCATGCACCGATCGAGACCGAGTCGAAGACGGCGGCGTTGTCAGGGCTGAGAACCACCCATCACCAGTCCCAGACCCGGACGGCCGATCCGATCCGTTGAAGAGGTCATCCTCGCTGCGCTCATCGTCTGGAACGAGCCTGTCGAGATACATCTCATGCTTTTCACGCAGTATCTCAAGGCTGTCTGTGAATTCGTTGTCCGCCGGCATGGGGATATCAATGGTGAATGTCTTGGAGGGGTCAGGAGGGGGAGGTGCACGGGGAGCAGTGGGGTTCCTATGCTGTCAATACCGTGACATTTCTCGTTGAGCCGAATATGTGAGTCTTACAGCTTGGACTGGCGAGGTCGTCTTGTGCGCGGTCCAGTCTTGAAGACACACTCACGCTTTGAATCCTGACATCTGGGAGCCGTGTTAGTATGGCAAAGCCGGAATACGGTTTAGACAAGCAATATCAACCTGCGGCAGATGCCCAGTGTGCTACTAGCCTCACACTTGACCTTGGCTGCTCTACACGCCTCACAGGCATTTGTAACCCGGGGCTTCTGACCGGCTTCCGACTGCTCAGGCTCCATGTTGGCTCGGAAGTCCTTGTTTATACAGACTGGGGATTGGGCAGCTACTGCAGGACCGCAACAAGATGGGTGCTAGTCTTAGCAAAGCAGCACACTTTCATCACCCGGTCGTGACCGGAAATGAGATGGGTTATGGCGTGAATATTCAGTTTTTGGCAGTGGGTGGATTGATGCTGAGTTTCTCTTGCTGGTAAGCTCCGAGTCAGATCGGAGGTTAACCATAAGCGCCCGTCGCGCGGAGTACAAATCCACCGGCCGGACTGCCGCCACCATCCTAATTAAGTGAGACTCTTCAACATCTAAATAATTTTGGAAGAGCTACATGTTAACCATAGAATTCATCACAAGATATTATTTGGCGACATAGAATTTTAGTCGAGGTTACGATCTCTCGAAACGTATTTAATACATCCATTCTACGCACTTATCTATGTTTTGCTGGTGTGATATGGTCATACCAGTCCGAAAAACTAGTCAAGTGTCAGAGGAAATCTCAACGCAGTAGAATCCTACTCGTCTTGTGAAGCGAGGGTCGCCTCAAGACGCGCCGAATAATAAGAATACATACCGCCTTACGGATGAAACGCTGGATCATTATTTTACAATTTGGACGTTTTCTCACTACCCTCTTTCTCCGGTGTCTCCTTGAGTCGACAAAGTCCCTGTGAGGTATTGTTAGCAAATGGCAATACATCGACCCATATCGTAGATAACTCACCTCCTGCACACAGGTAGCTAACAACGTCCCATCCTTCGCAAATATCCTCTGCGTAACTACGCCCCTTCCGTCACCAGCCCATGGACTGTCCATTTCCGCCAGCATCCAATCATCCGCCTTGACCCTCCTCGGCTCGTGAAAGTAGATAGTGTGATCCAGGCTCACCATCATGCCAATCTGCGGCCTATCGCCAAAGCTCTTGAGATCCATGCCTCCTCCCTCAAAATCATTCAGCCTCTGGATGTGATCCAGGGTCTCCTTGGGCAGCTGGTCGATCTCTTCCACCTTGAAGGGAAACCGCCACAGCCTGTGGATGCGGCTGATCGTCCCGATGAAGTAGCTGTCACTGACATACGCCAGCGCATTCAGATGCGCCTGATGGCCGCCCTTGATCGTGCCCCTCGCTCGTATCCACTGCCGGGTCTTCTTCTCGTGCGCATTCGGGCTCTCGCGATTCACCACCTTGATGCCGCCGCTCTCGTACGGGCCGGTGCTGATGCTCTCGTCCGGCTGCCAGTCGTCCGCCGGCGGCTGCAGCGGCCTGCCGTCCTCGTCCACGGGCATGGGCAGCGCGTGGCGGACCTGGGTGGCCGGCGCCTCCTCGCGCACAAAGGACATGGTGGTGGTGAAGATGGCGCGCCCGCGCTGCCGCGCCTGCACGGTCCGCGTCATGAAGGAGCGGCCGTCGCGGACCTTCTCGACGTGGAACATGATGGGGATGTCCGCGCTGCCCGCCAGGATGAAGTAGCAGTGGCATGAGTGGACGGTGAACTCATCGGGCACGGTGCGCTGGCCGGCAGCGAGACACATGGCGATGACGGCGCCGCCGTAGACCCCTCTTGCTCCAGGAGGGTGCCATGGCTGCCGAGTGTTTGTGAATATGTTCTACGAGGATGTTAGTGATTCTTACAGGTCTAAATGTTTAAGATGGTAGGGCAAGGGGTGGTTGAGATCTGAGTAAGCACTCTATCAAGAAACCCCAGTCAACTCGGCACTTGCGCCAGTAAGATGCAACCCCTTGACTGAGATGCGCAATTACATGCAGTACAATATCAACTACTTACCGGCCCGAGGACAGCAAGCTCGGTGACGTCCAGGACGTTTTCTATCGGTGCCTTATTCGGGTCCCATTGCGGCGGTTTTAATAGCGTGGGCCGGTCGGCCATTGTGTAGATGTTCACCGGGGCGTATAGAGATGTTGGTAGATCGCCTTGTGCCGTTTTCAGTGGCTCTTATAAAGTCGTATCGATTTCCGTATCGCACTTTTGACACTCTTTTCGGTCCGAGAGAATCGCAAATGGCATTCAATCGCGCTTCAATTGCCGTCATACAGTGACGAGGAGTCAACATAGATTTGGCACAGGTGCCTTAAGTAATTGGCCAACTATCGCCAGTCACAGTTCTTCCATGGAGAGTTTTGCCGAGGTTCGGCGTTTGGCAAGCCACACCCGGCCCGCCCGGGTCTTGGCCCACTAACATAAAGGGGAAGTGCGAAATTGTAAGTACGTACCAAGTAAATGCCATTCATTATGATATTTAATGTTAATTTCAAATTGGCATGACGCCCATCGAACGAACTTCATGGGAGAGTGCTCCAAAGTAACCAAGATTTAGCGAGAGGATTTTGGTTGTATTTAGACACAGGATGGAACAACTATCTACTCAACAGTCTCCGAACAATCCTATATACTGACAAACAGGCATCTTTTCCACCAAGACTGCTGAAAAAGGGGGACTAGTCAAACATGCATTTTATATTCATCATCACTGAAGCAGTCGTAAAGAGCCGAAAGGGACTAGGGAATCGCACAGGCATCTACAAACGAGACCAAAGCAACGGCTAGCCCTCGTAGACTGGCTCCAATCCCGCCCATGCGCTCTTGTCTCCCCTACCGGCCTTCTCTCTCTGCTCCCAGTACTTGCCGTTGAACTTCCAGTACTCCTCGCCCGTGACCTCGCACTTAGCCTTCGTGAACCAAGCCGGGATGAACTCCTCTCCACGTGCCTCTCTCGCTTTTCTTCTCGCGCGTTGACCCTCCTCAAGACGATTCTTTTCCGTAGCCGCAAAGTCGTATTCGCCCTCCTCCATAGCCCGTTGGTCGGGACGCAGACGAGAATCTGTCGGCGGCAACCAGGGGGCAAGCTTATCATCGATGTGGTTGAATGTGAGGACAAACGGTGTCAGGTTGAACGGAATGCCCTTAGGACGTTCATGCGCCTGCCAGACCAAGAACGCGCGGTTCTGGTCAGTAATGCTTCCGCGATGCACCGATTCCCCGTCAGCAGGCTCCTCAACAGTAGCTTCATAGCCCGGCGTCAGGCGTGCATATAGCTTGGAGTTCCAACGGCCGCCAAGACTGACACGCACTCTACCATTAGCATCGACAATCTTGCCGGCAATCTGGTACGCGCTGGACGCCTTCCACCCGCGTGGCTTGAAGTCAATGTAGCAAATTTCTCCGGTAGTCCAGTTCTTAATCTCCATCGGACCGTAGTTGTCGACCACGGGGTTTCCGGTGATGATCCCAATAACCGAGGAGGTGACCTTCTTCCAGGTGTACAAATCTTCCTTGCCGCCAGACGTAGGCCGAAGCTTCAGGAACCAAGTACCGAGAGGGTTGATATCAAAGGACCTGCCGTAGAACTTGGACTTCACAGCCGACTCTCCCCAGTAGGTCCACTTCGGCGATTCTGCCCAGGCTGCACCGACAGGCGGATGATGGCTAACCTGCTCGATAAAGAAACGGTAGTTCTTGTCTGGCCGGACATACTCAAAAGTCTCACCAAGGAGAGGATTGAATGGTTTTGCGACTCGGCCAATGGTAGAAGCATATTCACTGGCAGCAAATGCAGCCACATAGAGCAGGCGCTCGATCGAATCGGTTCGGTCTGCCGCCAGATCTAGAAGATCTGCATACTCCATATCTTCACCACAACGATAAAGAAGTGATGTAGGCTCGTTGAACGTGACTGGGAGAGTCATCTTTGTCATGTCCTTACCGATCATTGACTTCAAGATACCCTATACATCATCAGCACCCGTTTGGATGGCAGATTAGACAGATTCTGTATTAAACTTACCCATAGAGAGATCTTAGGCCGGTTGTCGGCGTCAATCTTCAGCTTCGTCCTGATTCCATTCTCGTAACCGTGGAAAGAGCTGCTAATATCCAGACCGCCAGTGACAACTAGTTCACTCTTCTCCTCCATCTCAGATGGTGGCATTGGCTCGACCTCAATCTCGCCGGCATCAACAGCGTCAAAGAATTCTTCATCATCCTCAGACTCGTCTTCGGAAAGATTGGCAACTTCTGTAAGCACGGTTTCTCGTCGAGTGATGCTCTTGGTCGGAGACTTGAGCGGGTCTTCCTCGGCATCTTGCTCCTCCTCCGCTTCAACAAACTCAGCGTCGCGGGGAGACTCCAGCATGCCGGTCCCGATGACTTCTTTGAGGATCCGTTTCGCGTGCTTCTTCTTCAGCTCGGCTTCGCCGACTCGGGCCTCGAGAACCTCTTGTTCCTTTGCCACTTGGGCCATGCTTTCCTCCCACATCCGCCTCATGTCAACCTCGCGATCCAAGCGGTATTGCCAATACGCATCGCGATCCTTCGAGATACGCAAAAGATCGCCTATGAGGCCGGTCATGGAGCGAATAGCTGCATCATATGTCGCTAGGGCCTGCGTTGTCTTCGTGTCGGACAACGTGAGAGCAGGGTTTTTCGTGGCCTCAGTGATGAGCGCGGCGTTGACTTGCGCCATCGTATCGAGCTGCAGTTTAGCTGACTGCGCTGTGATTGTGAAGGCGTCCTTGTTGGTATTTGGTGCATCACGTCCACTAGAAGCGTCACCGTATTCATCATCATCGTCGTCGTCATCATCCGGCATCATCGATGCGCCGTTGCCGGTCCTCATCCTAGATAGATCGTCCGTCATGGCATCGTCGTCATCAATGCTTCCAACCGTGCTGGCAACAGCTGTCGGAACTTTGCTCAAAGACTTGTTGGCACTATGCAGTCGCGATAGCTGGAAGCTAGACCGCTTCGGTTCCGCAAGGCTGCCGTTTTCGCTCTCGTTGATGGAAGTCCCCTGAGAATGCTCAGCCATGGCTTGCTTCAGGAGGTCTGCGCTTCGGGCTTTCTGCCGCTCTTCTTCCTTCATCTGGTCCTTGGTCCACTGGATCGAGTTGTTGAGCGCCCAGAACCATCGTTTAGCCTCGACTTCATGGTTCGCTTTCAGAGTATACTTAACAGAAGACTTCCCTATGATCTCAAACTTTGTCTTCTCGTCTGGGCTCATGTGGAGTTTGGCAATCCGCATATTGATGGCACCACGGCAGGCGGAGCCGGAATCGTCTTGGTGCTTGTAGTAACTCAACACGCCATCTTCGAGCACAAACCAACGAAGTTGGTAGCCTTTCCTGTAATTGGTCCATTTCTTAAGATAGCCCTTCATCTCCCTGGCTTCTCTACCAAGAAGAGCATCTCCAGTGGCCGTAGATGTGCCCGCTTGAGAGGCAGCATGGCCAAGCACGGCCTTTTCCTGTATACCCCGCTGCGCAGCCACCGCAGCGGGCGATTTCTTTAACATGGCTCTTGTGACATCATCTTTGGTCACATCCTGGGGGAGCTTTCCCTTACGATCGCGACGGAATGGGTCTGCGCCATGCAGAAGTAGCAGCTGGATGAGTTGCGTGTTCTTACGCCTGGCAGCCTCATGCAGCAGAGTGCCGCCGGCTTGCACCACCAATGGATCCGATGCAAACTCGGTGCTGTTGATATCTAGAACAGTCTTCAGACGGGGCTCTTCTAGCACCTTCTCTAGCGTTTTGTAATCTCCGCGAGTGATAAGTTCTTGCACCTGTTTGACCTTGCTCTCAGCAAACAGTGAACGTGAGAGTTGCAGCGATTGGAAGATCTCCGGATTCCGCGCGAGATCGAGAGGTAGACGACCCTGGTTGTTTGCGACAGCATCGTTGATGTCCTTCTGGTCGAGCAAGAGTCGCACGACTTGGGTCCGCCCCTGCAATGATGCGATATGGAGGGGTGTGTTACCATCCTTGTCCCTCGCATTGATGTCGATGGATCCGGCGCCATCAGACAGAACGTATTCAACCACAGGAAATTCGGCGCATTGGATAGCCAAGTGCAGGATGGTGGTATCGTCCAAGCTATGCCCCGACTGGGTGCCGATGGAAGAAGTGCTGGCTCGGGGGCCGTTCTCGGCTGTGTCTCTGATGGCTCTCGATATCGAGGCCGTATCACCACTCCTCAAGGCTTCCACGATGCGAAACTTCCGTACCGACTGCTCCAGGCTGTTTCCCTTATCAAAGAGAGTGGCGGTCGATTTCGTTGCCGTTGAAGGGGAGGTTGAGGTGGGGTTCTGGCTTTGGAGGACTCGGCTGCTAACCGACCCAGCAGTGGATAGCCGGGAGTTGTGGCCCTTTGCTGAATTCTGATGCGCCATGGATATCGTGGCCGGAGATGTGGCAATGGTCGGGGTAGATGCAAGATTTGAGGTCGAGCCGTCGTCAGAAGCAGTGTCGTCGTCTCCTCGGGTATCGCGTCGGCGGAGGAGAGACAAGGCGGCCGCTGATTTAGACCGCTTGTGCTGGCTGCAGATGGGGTTCGCATTAGCATGCCAATCTGGCAAGAGTAGAAAGAGGACAAGTCAAAGACTATTGGCAATGTCGCATACCTATCTCCCGCTTCAGACATGATTTTTTTCTAGCTCACCAATGCCAAGCAATGCAGGACATTGGGGGTGGCCAGGTCGAGGAAAAGGCGGTCGGTCGGTCACTGCGAACAGGCGACAAACAGGCTATTGAGAGAAGAGGAGGGGAGAAAGGTGAACAGCAGATAAGGAGAAATCAATGCAAATGAGAATACACAGAGGACATCGAAGGAATCTAGGATGGTTAGGGCTGCGAGAGCAGAGTGAGGGGTGCTGAGTGTTTTTTTGGCGATCTGTGATGAGGTAGGTAGGTGATGGCCCTTGTTGGCCTCTTGAAAGGATGACGTTTGTCAGTCTGGACGTCGGAGCTAAGAGCTTTAACATTAACATTAAGCTATTCCGTCGTGGTGGTGGTGGTGTACCGAAACTGGCGCTATGCTGCACAGCCCCCTTCAATGAGCTCCTCCAAAACCCAGACTCCCAGACAGCTTGGACTATGCAGCTAGTCTGTTTCGGTCTCGCTCTTTCACGTGGTAACTCTCTGATGAGATAATACAAGATGGTACTGTATGGTGGGGTTGAGTTGGGGTTCCCGGAGTGGCTGGCTCTACGTATCAAGGCAGGCGTTTCTTTAACAGGACTGTGCAGGTAGTCGAATCTCGCAAACTGTGCCAGCGCAGTTATCATTCTAGGAAAGTCATTTGCGAGGTGACACTGTCCTCGTAAATCCCATCGCGGCAGCAGAAGGCGAGATTGCCAAGTCGCATTCGTCAGACTGTGGCTTTTGAAGTCGCACAACCAAAGTCAATAGCCATCATCATCATCATCATCATCATCTATGCTTACGGCAAGGTGACATCCAGAGTAGAGCCGATTCCTCTGCGCTGATGATCTACATAACGATATGACCATGGCAAACGCATCTGATCCTATACTTGTCCAATGGATTCTAGACACTCGTGACTTGTGGCCTGGAGCCACGAAGACGGCACAGCTCGAGACACTGGTACATTCTCTTCGCATCTAAGAATGTCATTGCAATGATTCTAAACGTCTTAGGCCTCTCGAGCTCTGTCTCTACTCACTCGTGAGGAGAAAACAAATGTGTTGAAATACTATCATGTCCGGGATGCAAAGATGGCCCTGGGCTCTGCTCTACTCAAGCACTTTGTCATCAGCAAATACTGCAACGTCGCATGGTGGGACACCAAGATGACCCGCGATGAAAAGACAAAGCCCATATACCGGGATCCGGATACGGGGACATGCCCCATATCGTTCAACGTGAGCCACCAGGCCGGCCTCGTAGCGTTGATTGCCGCCCATGGTTACGATGGTCCGGTAGACGTCGGGGTGGATGTCGTCTGTGTGAGTGAGCGGCGAGACCGTGACCACAAGATGATCAAGGATGAGGGCTGGCCAAGCTTCGTCGACATGCATGCCGATGTCTTTGCGCCCTCCGAAGCCAAGTATCTCAAATACCAGATACTGAGTGCCGTGCCCGGCTTACCGCGGGGAGCATCGCCTGAAGACATTGTTGACTTCAAGCTGCGATGCTTCTATGCACTTTGGTGCTTGCGAGAGGCATATGTGAAGATGACCGGAGAGGCGCTGCTCGCCGAATGGCTTGGCGTTCTGGAATTTAGGAATTTCGTTCCTCCTATTGCAGCAGCATCCTTCGCTGGCACAGATGAAGTTGCCGAGCAAGTTGTCACGGATCATCAAATATGGTTTAGAGGGCAGAAAGTGGAAGACGCAAAGGTCTGTCTTCGTGCGCTAGGTCCTGACTATATGACCTGCACTGCGGTCCGAGCCCAAGGGAACGCGGCGAACGAGCTTGGCTCTGCTTCTGGACCATTCACAATGATCGATATCAATCAGATACTCGAATATGCAGAGAAGCAGTGATAGAGCTCTTGGCAACTTTCGCGATTCTGCCAAACGGCTTAGACTCCGTCTACAGCACCGCAAAAGATAATGCGCCAACAACACTGCATTATTTCAGACCACGATACCTCAATGGCACTATTTCCTGTAATCTGGGTCGATTGACCCTGGTGCACTCAGTTGAAGTTTCAGGAATCGTGCGATTTCGATGTGGCATCGGACGACGTAGACATGTGAAACACCAAGCTGGGGCCTTGGATGTTTGGTGTTATAGCCTTGCGCTGCACTGCGAGACGACAACGAAATATCACAGACGCCTCATTAAATATATAAGAACTGCTTTTCGCCGCAAAGAAACCTGATGTTATTCTTTTCTGGCCACCAATTCCCCCTGCTTCTTTGGGAATTCCGTCTTTTGCAGATCATTTGCGATGCCAACTACACAAGATCGCCATCACATCCCGCATCTCCTGCATCTTGTCCCAATTATGGAGTCTTTGCTTTGATTCTATCACCTCTGAACGCCGAGTTGTAGCCTTTCACAGCTACACGCCATGAGGCCAGCGGTATAGATCAGAGCAATCTGCTCTTGTCTCATGAACCCCGAGACTGGTATGGACACACCACGACAAGTATTCTCAGTTCCGCCAGCGGCATGATCTCGTCTTACCAACTACGACTACCCGCCAACATTGACATGCCGCTGGTGTCGAGCACCGAGAACCTCCTCGCGTTCCGCTGGAAGATCGCTCTACCTCCCATGGCGCAGCGATCTGAAGTGTTGAGCGCTCGTGTTCCGCCGTCCTGCCCTGCCCTGCCCTGTCACAGGAACAGCCAGGTACGGCGTCGAGCATCCCCACACCGCGACTCCCGCCGCCATGCCAGATCAGCACAGCCGCGCGCGGTCGAAGTCATTGCACCGTGGGGGAAAAGTTTTCGCTGGAAGGGCCGGAGCCTGAAGCGTCGATGATCCGCCGGAAGTCGCTTGCGGGACGCCGCATACCACAGCGCTGAGGCGATGCGAATCCGCTGGAAGTTTGCTCGGCGACCTGAAGTTTGAGAGCGTCAAGTCAGCCCGTCATAATGCCGAGCGTCGGGCATTATAGAATCAACAAAATCAACCCCCAAAAAAAATTAATGATGTCAACCCCAGAGAAGCACTTGGGACGGATCTCAGCATCTGAGGTTTGGAAACTGTGTGGAGGGACCCTTGCGAAGAGCCTGAACCTTTACGTGGTGCGAGGGATTAGAGATGGGCAGGATGGTCATATCACTGTTTTGTTCATCTACAGATACAGGCAATGAGAAATCACATTGAGTTATATTTTAGTCTGACCAGGCTGCCATCCGTAAATACAAGTGAAGCTGCTATCACTTGAATGACTGTGTGTACTGCCAAAATGACCTCGCTAGTTTATACAGGAGGATGTGCCAAAGCTTGACTAACGATTCCCAGAGTCTTCCTCATCACTGAACATGTAGTATCATATACGAGAGTGTTATCAATGTGGGACAATGGTGGTGAACGGCAGACAAAACAACCCCCTGATTTCTCCATCAGATCAAGACGCCTGCCATATGCTAGGTCTCCGTCTACGCCTTGTCCTTCCTGTTGTTGCCGGACTCGCCATCCGAGCTGCCGTAGTTTTCAGTAGACTCTAAGGACGACCTTAAGGCCTTCCGGGCCTCCAGCTTACAGCCAGTGCTGGCCTTCTTCTATTCATCCTTCTTTTTGGACGGCTTCTTAATCAAAATGGTCTTGAAGGTCATCATCCCCCTCAATGTAGCTGGTCTGGCCGGTAGAGTTGGTTGACAACAGGTGACCTACGCAGAGAAAGGGGAGGACGAAGGTGTGATGTTGGACGAGCAGTTGTTGACGCAGAGCTGTAATGCACGACGAAGCGCTCCTAGGCTTTTCACAAAACGAAAAGCCTTGATAAGGAACGTGAATGAAAAGAGGAAGGGAGAGAAGACAACAGATGAAGCTGCTCAGAAGCGTGAAGGGGAAGCTTTCTGACCAGTCCTGTGGGACTACAATGTCGACCCAAAGAAAAGCTGTATGGTGCTCTCACATTCCAGGTATCTAGATTACGAGGTGCTACCTAGTTTCGTAAGACTAAAGACACTGCAGAAACACTGCCGAGTACAGGTAATTCATTCGTGGAGTTGTTAACTCTGTTGGTCTAACCAAGGCTCTCCATACAACATATGCATTTTCAGAGACTATGCTGATGATACTTGAACCACATTGACTTATTCAACTTGTATGAAGGACGCACCATCTGATAGCCCCAGCATAATCAGTAAAAAAAAAAAGTCTAGAACTTTGATGATGTAGGTGTCCAAGTGCTAGGCATTTGGGCGCGTGCCGCTTTCACGGCTTGCTTATGTACGTCGAGTCCGTCTGAGTTGCTTTCGTCTCCGTCATCTTGCGAAGCTGTCGCACTCGGGCATTTTCGAGTTTCCGTTCCTTATCGCGGAACGCTCAAATCCTTGCCGCAAGCGTCTCGGATTGTTTCGGCACTGTAACCTCCTTTCGAGACGCCGAGTCCTCCCCCGCCTTCTCGGGGCTGGTGGCTGTGACCGGCATCTCTCTCGGGCGATCCGGGGCCTGTCTCAGACTTCTAATCTTCCTTCAGGTCTTTGGTTCCAGGTGCGGAGATTGAGAACAGGAACACGTCGTAGCCTTTCTCTGATATCTCTAGAGGGTTGGAGGCGCTAGCTTTGACGTCTGCTTGACCCTGCTCGCCAGCCTTCTCTTCCTTTTTCGAGGTGGTCGGTTCCGTCTGAAGATCCTTTTCGCTCTTGGGCTCTTTAGCCTCGTCGTCACCTTCCTTCTTCGAGCTGATCTCCTTGACAACCCGGCCATCTGCATCCAGCTCGACAACAACATCTTCGGTATCAAGACTTCCGTCCTCGGTGTAAGTCCACATGGCTTTCAACTCGCCCCGGACCAAACCAGTCAGCCAGGTAGACCCAACCACCCCAGGGACGAGATACAGTAGCGCGGGCTGGCCATGTCTGAAAATGATCAACATGGCCAGCGTCGTCAACATGCCGAGAAAATACCCAAACATGGATGCGTAGAAGTAAGGCTTGGGGAAAGCAGCTGCGGCCAGTGTCGGTGTGGCCGGTTTACCAAAGAAGATACCCAACCAAGTGCTCGTCCACAGACGATCGCCCCAACGCCCCTGGGGGTCAACGAATGTCGGCTTGACAGTGCGGTACTGCGTCTCGGTCGTTGTCACAGTCTGTTCGGATGAAGGATCCTGAGAAACGGTCTCAAGGCTTGTCGGGACGTACTTGGCTTTCTTCTGGTAGTATTGCCACAAATCAAAACGAAGGGCGAGGCAGATGAAGATGCCCGGGATGACAATGTCTCCTAGTCCTAGAAGACTAGCCCCAGAAGGGCCCTCGAAGACTAGCTTGATAGGTGCATCGATGGTCTTAGCAACGGTGATCATGTACGGCCTGGAATGGTTAGCTTACACGAGTACACAGAAAGGGAAAATAGGCAAAATCAGGAGTCCAACTCACGTGTAGAAAACCATGACGATATCATAGACAAAAAGGCCAAGCAAGACAAGAGATCCCGTCGCGAACGAAGTGCACGACATAATCATTGATGTCCCGTAGCAGAATCCAGCACCCATGAGATTAGAAAGCAGCGTGGCCCCAGTGAGGCTATAGGTGAACGTTGTCGACATAGCAAGGAGGATGCCGATGACATGGACCAGTTTGATGGGAAACGACTCCTTGCCGATGCCATGCACAGCGACTCGCACAATCCATTTCTCCGTCAGAAGATGTCGCGCCTTCCACAAGGAATGTTGAGTGCGGGCTGAGAAGCTCCTTTCGGAAAGAAATCCTGCCAAGGGAGTTGTCTTCTTCGTGTCAGTGCGCCGCTCGGAGGTCTCGTCCTGAGGACGAATTAGAAGTTCCTGGCAGCGACGTCGGCCATCAATATGGAAGATCTGGCCTTGACTATCCCGCCACATGCTGGGGAAGAACATGCTCGTGACAAACTCCAAAGTGTCTCCCAAGAGCTTGCTCAAGCTGATGACGCCAACAACAGACATGTACGTCTGCAGTATCTTGTTGAGAATAGAAGGGTCCTGGATCCACTTGATGATGTAGTACAGGCCGATGAGCACGAATCCTGCCAGAACGGGGAGCAAAATCGCATCGGAGGGAGTGAACCCCTCAGCGAACTGGTCTTCCTTCTTCTTCTTGCCGCTCTTTGCCGGGGAAGCGGACGGTGGCCGGCGAAGAGCTCCGTGAGCACCGATGTAGATAATTGCCATAGCGCTAATGACGATTTTCAACTCGAGGGACAGGAAGCCAAGCTTCTGGATCACCTTCAGGATCGGGGCGGGAGCCACAAGGGTGTCATTTCCAACGTGGGTGAAGTTGTCGCCTTCCGCCAGCACCGGAGTTTCAGACGGGGAAGCCATGATGATCTTCCGTAGAACGACCTTGAAGATTTGGACTCTTAGGAGCCACAGATGGAAAGATGGCAGACAGATATATTGTTCAGACAGGCCGATGCCCCGATAATGACTGAGAAGAAAAGATCTGAAGAGAAACTTAAATTCTCTCAAAGAATGTTCCTTTCGGACCAGATAGAGAGTCGGAGCCGACTAAAATCCGTAGGCTGCCGTGGTCAACCTTGGAAGCTTCCTCAAAGACGACTTATGTGCCATGCACAGGCGAGACCGTTACGACTTCCAGGTTCTCGAGACCCCTCAAAGGAGGAGTGTCTCATAAACCACCTGCTTGTCTCAAAAAGCTGCACTGTGTATATTCCATGCGAAGCAAAGTCGTAAGGCGAAACGGTATGAAAGAATTGCAGGCTTATGAAACAACAAGTGTTAGTCGTGAAGATGTTTGCTGGCCATGTTGAGTACAGGTGTTGCGATGTACACCTACAGGTACAGCAGGCAGGTACCCAGCGGTAGCCGAAAGCTGGCAGCCTTGCAGGACTGGCGTGGCTGAATTTTGGCCTGTGGCGTCATAGGGCCGCTAAAACGGCCTACCTAGGTAATTTACAGCCTTGCCATGCTCTATCGAAGCCCCTCCAAAATTCTTGAGGAGGGGCCTGCTCGTACAGCACGAACAACCTGAACACCTCAGTCTCTCGAGTCCAATTGACTCCCTCATACTCCAAGATGGCGACCAACGTAGCCCTAGAAACCTCAATGGTAAGCCTTACGCTTCTGTCATCCTCCCAGTATCACAGTAGCCCAACCTAACGTATCTCCTCCCGCAGGGCACCATCGTCGTCGAGCTCTACACCTCGCACGCGCCCAAGACGTGCAAGAACTTCAGCACGCTCGCCCAGCGCGGGTACTACGACGGCGTCATCTTCCACCGGATCATCCCGAACTTCATGATCCAGGGCGGCGACCCCTCTGGGACGGGCCGCGGCGGCGCGTCCATCTACGGCGACAAGTTCGAGGACGAGATCCGCGCCGACCTCAAGCACACGGGGGCCGGGATCCTGTCCATGGCCAACTCCGGGCCAAACACCAACGGCAGCCAGTTCTTCGTCACGCTGGCCCCGACGCCCTGGCTCGACGGCAAGCACACCATATTCGGCCGTGTGCGGAGCGGCATGGGCGTCGTCAAGCGCATGGGCATGGTCAAGACAGACGGCGAGGACAGGCCCGAGCAGGAGGTCAAGATCGTCAGGGCGCGTGTCGTAGAGGAGGGTGATGAGCTTTGAGGTGTCGTCTTTGGTTTGGGAAAAGACAAGATGATGTTGGGTGGTACTACAAGGCGGCGCATCGGCTATGGTGTTGATTTACAAAAATCATTCTATATTTCGGGATACCAATGATATGCGAGAGAGAGAATATAAATGGGCTGCACACTTGAAGTATAAGGCTCTCGGAGAAACAAACGAGACATGATTCACGGTCTTTGGATTTCTCTATACAAACTGACCGCTATGCCGCCGGATGGCCACGCGTGCTCGGCGACGAGCTGTGGCTTTTTATTACAGCCGTCCAGGAAAAGCAAACTCGGAAACGCCATCCTCAGCCGGCCTCCGGCAATGCGACAACACCAAATAGAACGAAGACCTAAGAATCCATAAACTCCCCTACAGAACCCCCGGTTCAATGCAGTGATAATAAGTGTAATACAGAGTGATAGTAGTGCCTTTCCTGGGTGAAGTAAATAACCTAGCGCACTGTAACGTCCTGTCGATACCAACGCAACTCCAGTGACGGTGCTACTGGCCCTGAAGATAGGTGAACGGTGGTAATGGACACAACCAACCCTAGTGAGGATGTTGTTCGAAATAGATAATATAGTGATGCTCACACCTATTGCGGTGGCGAGGATAGTGTTCCCGATGATTCGGATTCTGCATCAGCATCCCGGCCGTTCTTGGCTTTGGGTGACGGGAGAGGAGGCTTTGCAGCACCCAGCTTGAGCTTTTTAGCTGGCGAGGGGATTTTTGAAGTTGATTTCTTAGGAAGAACCTCCACAGTTGACTTCTTGTCGTCGTCGTCGAGCTTCGACTCCACGCTCAGGAATGAGCTTGTTTTTACTTTCTCCTTCTTGGGGTTCTTGGTCTTCAAGATAACCTTCTTTGTGACAGAGGGCTTAGCCTTCTTCTTCTTGGGATTGTTCGGGTCAGACTCGTCGTCCTCGTCAAACTCATCACCGTCTCGTTTCCTAGGGCTCCCAGCTCTTGATCCGGGCAACGGAGTGCCCTTCTGGCTAGACGGGGGTGTGTTGTCGTTCTGACTGTTGCCATTGCTTCCGTTGCTGATCTTCTGCGCCGCCGCCCTACTTGCGTTGCGTCCGCTGTTGCCAATACAAGAGCCCATGTGATTGTTCAATCGAGTGACCAGAATACACCTCTTGCACTTGCTGCATGTCGCGGACGGGAATGAAAGCACGTTCGCCGGTCGCTGCTCGGGTGTCGGGGTCACTCCGCCAGAATCTGAGGCCGTCTCTGGTATAAGCTTCTTCTCCATGTCTTTCTTCTTCTTGCCCCTTCCTGGCCCCTGCGGCACCCATGTCTGTCCGTAAATGTCGTAGCCAGGCTTGTCAATGTACGGATGCTTCTTGCAGTAGATGATGCTTGGGTCTGGTTTCCTCGCGCCCTTGCCATCGGTCGGGTATAGTAATCGAGGGAGGTGACATCTGGGGCAGATTATCTCGGTCGTGGTCTTGAGCGGATTGCCTTTGAGGGTGACTTTGCCGTCTTCGTAGACAGCGGCGTCTGTCTCAACACGAACGTCCGGGTTTACATCAGGGTCGGCAGACTCTGAGGCATCGGAAGCCAGCTTCTCGACACGGATTGCGGCAGTGGTGGCCCGGGCCATCTTCTCGTCGCGGTGCACCTTGACCAGGAGGTCGTGAACGATGTTGTAGAGGAGATCATCGAGTACAGCATGTGCCTAACACAGTAGGGGTAAGCCAAAATAGATGCATTCATCTGGCTGTTGAATGGTCTGCAGCATTTGAAAGGGCAATAATGCGTGCCATTTTTTTTCGTTGGCAATTTGACACGACGGAGCAGGCAGATCTGGCAAACGGAGGCTGACTTACAAGCTTATCCATGCTGGGCGCATCGTTGGGAGCGACGATGACGCCTGCCTTGCCAGTATTCGCCGCCATTCGGAAAGAGTGACGGAGAGGTGAATTGAGCGAGGCTCTTGGGTGTGAGATGTGAGATGCGAGGTGATGGGATATATGTATTGTATCTGTATTTGGGTATGTGAGGGTTGGAGATAATTTATCGGGAGGCTGAGGTGGTGTTCAGCGCCGACTCAGTCGCTAGGCAATGACGGCAAGGCAAGTAACGTTAAGTGTAAGGTAAAGTTAAGGTACGGCTCAGGCAGTGTGGTCCAGGTCTCAGGTCTCGTGTGAGGCGAGAGGTGTGCTGGTGCTGGTGCTGGTGCTGGGTTTAGCGGCACAAGGGATCCTGACAAACCGAGCTTGGGCCGGTCAGTGCAGTGCAGTGGATACGATACAAGACTCTTCTGCGGTCTCCTGAACTTCTCCTGATCAAATTAACAAGACAAGATAGGCACAAGATGAGACCATCAACATGTCTCGTTTAGGAGATAATCCTGCAACGGCGAAGATGCTGCTGCTTTGGTGGTGGTGGTGGCGGTGGTGCTTGAAGGGGATTGATGGTGATATGATGACTGATCAGACATCAGCCTACTGACTGAGACTGACTTCGTACAGCAGCAGGCAACTTTGGCAGTTACGACACGGAAAAAACTGGCAGGTGCTGGCTGGCTGGCTGGCTGCTCTTAGATCATCAATTTACTCACTAACTTTATCAAACCAATTAATGCGACAAGCCAAAGGACCCCGAGTTAGTGGCTGTTCTACAGTGCCCACCTGCACCGTCCACGAGCTACCGGTACCTGAGTTAGGCCAATTGGGGGAATTGCCTATGGTAGGTACCTCTCTACAAGCATCCCTGCAGCATGTTCCAAGGTAGGTAACCTACCTAACCACATGCTGGCTGTCATCAATCTGATCGCTTTTTGTTTGACAATCTGTCTCCTGATGCTGTTTCTGGGGCTGGCAATTCCGATCTCTTGCCTTACTGTAGGTACATATACATGTACCGTAGGCCCGAGCCTCACCAGAATCCTGCCGGACATACACGTGTAGATAGGGACCCCACCGACCCCCTAATCTTACCAGCACCCTATCCCTTTTCAGTGTCCCCGGTGGCACTTCAGCATTGGATCAGACGCTCGATTTCAGTGCATTATGCAGTACTGCGTAGTATACCTGTGAGATGGGCAAATCGAGTCTAGAACCTTTCGAAGCTTATAGGTAGTGGCCCCTCCACCCTCCACCCTTCAGAGTGTGACGGCATTCAACCAGCGGGCGATTAAGTTTGAGAGGGCAATATCAACAACACATTTCACATTTCCACTCCTCCCTAGACTCACACTCAGACTCAGACTTACGACTCACATCTACACTGCATTACATTACATCAAAACTACAAACATGTCCTCCTCGATGCTATAGCACAACACAACAGAGCCATTGGCCATCCTCCGCCCTCATGCACACAGCCGTTCCGGGCCAGCCAAGACAATAGAATCACCTACAATCCCGCACACACGCACACACACAATGGCGCCCAACCACCACCACCACCACCAACAGCAGCAGCAGCCCTCCATCCGGTCCTTCTTCCAACCCAAGCAGCTGCCCAAGTACGCCGCCCCTCCGTCGTTGTCGCAACCAGGAGCTACTGCTGCCCCAATCGTCGCAGCACCGCCTGCGCCTGCACCGGCAGCGCCTCCTCTTCCGACCTCACCAGCGTCTCTCCCTCTCACGACGCCTCCTCGCTTCCCGCCCGCGCCCTCGCCGCACCCGAGCGCGACCATCGTCCCCATCGCCGCGCACCACATCCCCGCCCTGCGCCGCATCAACGCCCTCCTGCTGCCCGTCAACTACACCGACTCCTTCTACGCCGCCGCCCTCGACCCCGCCGTGTCCGGGCTGCTCTCCCGCGTCGTCCTCTGGCAGGATGACCCCCAGCAGGAACCCAAGGTCGTAGGCGGCATCGTCTGCCGCGTCGAGCCCAGCCCCTTCGCCCTGCCGTCCGGCGCGTTCGACCCCAAGCTCGCCGCCGCCGCGCAGACGTCCGTCGGCCCGGCTGCCTCCCACGCCGTCTACATCCAGTCGCTGGGCCTGCTGGCGCCGTACCGGGGGCAGGGCATCGCCGCCGCCGCCGTCGAGGCCGTGGTGCGCGACGCGGCGGCACTGACGGCGGACCCGGCCAGCAGCCTAGCCGTCACGACGCTGTACGCGCACGTGTGGACCGAGAACGAGGACGGCCTGCGGTGGTACGCGGCGCGCGGGTTCGTGCGCGATGTCGTCCTCGGCGGGTACTACTTCAAGCTGCGGCCGGACACGGCGTGGATCGTCAAGCGGGCCATTGGCACCGGTACTGGCACTGGCACTGGCACTGGCACTGGCAACCGAGCTGGCTACGTCCCGCCGACGGGCATGGCCGTCCCGCAGGCCGCTCCTCCGATCACCACGAGCACCACAGCCGCCGCCGTGAACCTCTCCGGCTTCTCTGGTGCCACGGCACCACCGCAGTTGGCTAGAGCGCCCTCCAGCAGTACCAATATCAACAACCCCACCCCGCCAGTAAGCCACTCCGCCTCGCCGTCGCCCGCGCCCTCCTCTCTCTCCTTCCAGAACAAGCGGCCAGACATGGAGTGGAACGACCTGCCGGAAGACATGGTCTCGCGGAACAGCTCGCGGAGCGACCTGCTGTCACCACCACTTCCACCGAACGGCAGCAGCGGGGCAGCAGCAGGAGGAGGAGGTCCGCCCAGGTCCGGCGCCAGCTCGCGGAGCAGCTCGACGGCCCCCGGGCGCAAGAAGAAGGATCGGGCGTATCCGGCGGCTGCGTTTGGGAACTGATGTTGATGATGATGATGATGATGAAGA